AGGTATTTTAAATGCTCTACTTTGATCTTAAATCTTCCTTCTAAGGACATGTTGAGACCACAATTGGAGGGCTTGGCTTGATTCTAAGGCCCATAAAAAAGGTTTTATGGTAACAAGACGCTTTTGCTTAATCTGATACATTTTTTCAGACTTTTCCTCTGTACCTTAAATAGTAGCTTCTAAGCAAACTTCTAGACTGCACTGTGTTTTCTGGCTCACCTTCACCCTTACTTATTTCAGCTTGTTTTTAATTTAACATTTAATTTATTATTATTATTTTTTTTTTTTTGCAGTGCTGGGGATCAGACCAGGGCCTCACATGTGGCAGGCAAGTGCCATACTCTTGAGCCATACCCCAGCTCACTTATTTCCATTTGTGAAGCAGGTATTTTCTATGTTTCTGTACAAGTAATAGAATCCTTGCCCCTGCATCAGCAGGAGAGATTTTAGGTATGTTGAAGGAAGGAACTGGAACTCTCAAATTGTGCCACAAAAGGATCTGCCTACTTCTTCTTCACAGTGTGCAGAAGTGCTGGGTTCAAATTCCAGTAGCCACTGCATTTCCAACAAAATCCTTCTTATGCTTGTGGTCTTCAATTCTGTCTAATTGCAAAGTCCATGTTCCTAAACCCTACCCTACACTGCTTAATCCCTTCTCAGCGCAATGTCATTGCAAGTACTTCAAATTCTATCATGTCCCATTTAAGTCATCTCCTTTTCTTTCTGCTGAATACCCCTGGTCTGTTTAATCTTTTTGTTGAGTGTGATGAGTCATCCTGTGAGTTAATGGTAGCTAGGTTACAAGGCCCAGTAACCTGGTAAAACACCAGTCTAGATGTTGTTGATGTTGCTGTGAAGGTGTTTTTATTTATTTATCTATTTTTTACATGTGGTTAACAGTGGAATTCGCGGACTTTGATTAAAACAGATGACTCTCCATAAGGTGTGGGCTTTGTCCAATCGGCTGAAGGCCTGTAGAGTAAAGACTGTGGTTTCCTGGAGAAGAAGGTGTTCTCTGATGCAGCCCAGAAGCTTGTCTATGATTCCAGCCTGATGGCCTTTGCAGTTTGGACCCAAGAATGAAACAATTCTCACTGGAAGTTTTTCAATTTGCTGTCCTGACCCCCAGATAGATAGATCTCTGATGTGCCAGTCCCAAACAATTCCATGAGCCAGTTCCTTAAATAAACATCTCTGTCTATCCATACATCTTCCATACATTTCACATTGGTCTATTTCTCTGGAGAAGAACCAGATTAACACATTAAGAATTGAGTTTAATTTTTTTTCATTTTATCACCTTCCTTATCTTTTCCAAGCATGTTCCAGGTTATTGATAACTTATCTAATGTAATAAAAACTTGCTGCAGGAAACAGCAATATTATTATCATGTTTGTCTACCTCTGTCTCTGTATCTGTCTCTGTCTGTCTCTCTCCTCTCTCTCTGTACTTGGACTGGAGCCTACACCCTCATCTCTGTTTCTCTACCTCTCTCTGTACTAGAACTAGAACCCTCGCACACAGTAGTCAGACACTGAATACAACTCCAGCTGCTTTTTATCATCATACCCATCTTATCCTTGACCCCGTTAGAACATGGTTTTTCAGGACAAGGTCTTGGATGCAGAGGGAGCAGGACCCAAGCTCCATTCCACAATGTTGTGACTTAAACAAGTTACTCAAGTTTTGTGCTTCTCTGTAATCCCTATAATAAGCACTTAACAGCTAACTGTTGACTAAATATATTCTATTGAATACATCATGATTTTTAAGATCGCCTTTGCAGATATTCTCTGATGTGAATGGGATTTTTTTTTTTTTACTACAAAACCAAAGCATAAAGTTTTACCTTTATTCTAAAAGCTCCTATTGAAGTTCCATGAAGACAATACAGAGGTAGACTTGCAGTGAGGACTTCAGCACCCAAAGTGAAAGAGGATGGGCTTTGGTTTGTAAGCACCCTCCCCGAGCCTGGAAGACCGAAGTCTGGAATTGCAGGTTTGAGCACACCGGTTCCAGTATCTCCACCCTGTGTGCATTTGAACGAAGGGGTTTTATTACTGCATCTTGGCAATAGCCAGAAAAGATCTTTTAAGGCAGAGTGCACGGGATGAGTAAGAGAAGGAATTCAAGTGGTTTGTGAAAACCTGGCTCAATACCACAGCCTAATAAATAGGCATCTCCAGGCAGGGGGCTTTTCAGATGTGGTCCTTAAAACCTAGCTCTCAAGAAACAATTGAAAAGAGAATGCCGTTTTCTACAGACGAGGTCTCAGGAGGCAGAGGGTGACCTTTTTACTCAGTGATGCTTTTCTGGAACGTCCATCCCAAGAGCCACAGGTGGCTAAGATTGTAAGGTGCTTTCTTTTCCCTCTCTTCATCCATGCCCACCGCCCTGGAATGACTCCTGCTTGAAAAGCTTTATCAGACTAACCATAAAGCACAATGCCCTGAGGGGAGCTCAGCTGTCTGAGAGCGATCGGAAAACCCAGCTCTCATGGCTAATTCATTTAAAATACATTACTGATGTCGCATCCAAAGAGCTCTCCTTTGCTTTAAGCCAAAAGAAAAGGAAAGATGAGCAAACAGGGTGGAGAGGTTAGTGGTAGGAGCTCAGGTGGTCCATCCAATGTGTTTGTAAGCAGAAATGGCAAAGGAAGATTTTTGGCTGTCTAAAATCTTATTTATTTATGACACATATACTTTAAAGGATGATAAAGTGTATTTTTCCCTGCTAAGTGAAATCAGTAGAGTTAAATGGACATTATTTTCCCATAATGATGCAGCAACCAAATTGTTTTGTGTAAACACCCTTTTGGCCTGTTAGTGTAGCAAAAGTCATTTAAATGACTGTCATCACAGCTAATAGAATGGGCAGCGTGAACAGGACTCAGAGACAACCTGGCTACAAACCCCAGGCCTTCTGCCTACTGTGTAAGTCATTCCCCACTCAGGTACTCAGAGGACAGCTGTGAAATGGGCAAGGCTCAGTGTATGTCTGTCTGCACATGCTTAAGGTCCTGAAAAATTCTGAGTGAACTCTGTGAGTTTGGGCAATAAAACTCTAGAGAAAAAAGTAGAGGAAAAGCATCCTTTCCTTTGAGCAGAAGTTGGTTGGAAAATTGTGGGCCTGTTCTCAAGCCTACTTCATCATGGGAGAAGCTTGCATGCATTTGTTGGCTCAGGTATTAGGGTCTTATGAATCAGGTGACCTATATAGAGCACTAAGTGATTTAAAATAGCATCTGACTTAGTGCAGGTCAGTTACTGCACTAAGAAATTGGGCATTCTACACAGATTTGAAAGCAATACTTCAATTCTCAAAAATTTCTTTTTTAAGAGGGTGTCGGGGTATGAACTCAGGGCCTTGTGCTTGCTAGGCAGGCACTCAACCACTTGAGCCACACTTCCAGTCCTTTTTTGCTATAGTTACTTTTTGATAAGTTCATACACTTTTGCCCAGGCAGGCCTCAGACTGTGATCCTCCTCCTTATTCCTCTCACATAACTGGGATTATAGATGTGAACCACATCCAGCTTGTTTGTTGAGATGGAGTCTCACTAACACCTAGGTTGGCCTCTGACCTTGAAACGAACTTCCATGAATATCCCCCATCTCTGCCTCCTGAGTAGTGGCTGGGATTACACATGTACTCTACCATGCCCAACCCCTCACCATTTTATTTCTTACATAGTTTGTTACCTTTACTTGAAAACTGAGTGTTTTTATTCAGCGTTGGGAGTACACCCCGATTTTCTTTTTTGTGGTTCTGGGGGTGGAACTCAGGGCCTTGAACATACTAAGCACATACTGTACCACTGAGCCACACCCCTCACCCCCACTCCAAATGTGTTGAAGAGGCTTTCTATAAGATACAGTACAATAATAGGTATTCCTAAAATAAACTATCAAATTGGTAAAGCAATAACTTTTAATATTTCATAATATGTTTCCCAGGTTATAATATAAACAATGTATCTTCCTATTTCTGTTTTGAGATAATTCAAGCATAAGCATTACTTTAAATTGTCTTCATTACATTGAACATTATCAATTACATTTACAGAGTAACAAAGGAATAATGAAACTATTTGAATAAAACATCACAACTCTTATTTTGAAACCTAATCAGAAAAGAATTATTTGCTCCCATGATAACTCACTAAATGCACACCATTACTGTTAGGCAGTCTCTGTTATGAAGACAGCATGTTAGGAAAAGGTATTCAAGCTAATTGCTAAGAACAAAAATTCTTTAAAAAATTTGTTTTGAAACTCGGTTTTGCTGTGTAGCCCAGGCTGGCTTCAAACTCAAGATCCTCCTGTCTCAGCCTCCTGAATGTTGGGTTTACAGGCATGTACCACCCTGTTAAGCTAAAACCAAAGTTCTTTTTAAAAACAACTGTACTGTACAAATGCTGAAGATCTGTTTTCAAGCTGCACATTTTGAAGATAAAATGATCAGAATTCCTTGCTCAGCTATATTAACAGTTTCTAAATGCTACCCATAAATTTTATGAAATTACTTAGGATAAAACAGAAAAATTTCCTCAGGAAGCTATTTAGACACGCTCTAATGGCTGTATAAGGATTGTGAAATTCCCTAGTGCCAGGGTTTGAACTCAGGGCCTCATGATCACTAGGCAGGCACTCTACCACTTGAGCCACTCCTCCAGCCCAGGAACTTTGACTTCTACTCCAGCTCATAAACTAAGTGAAGCACTTTAAAACTTCCTCCTCTCTAGTTTATTTGTTCATTTGGCAGAGTTAGGCCTTCCTGACCTTCTTCTATGCACTGTAGGAGATTTCAAAATGCTGTGGGAAAGTTCCTCAGACTCTCCAACATTCCTAGTAGCTAATTTTTTCAGCTGACAAGCATTTTTGCTTCTATATGAATTTCTTTGTTCACAAGATCAATCTCATAGTTCCACAAGAGAATTGTCACTTGTATTTTACTTTCTATATGCACACCAATATTGTGGTTCACCCAGGAATGTTTTTTAAAAGTCCTCATTGTGGTAGGTAAAGAATGGCCCCACTGTATCCAAGTAACTGACGGCGGAGTCCATCCCAGACAGACACACATCCCATGTGTCTGTTCCATCTGTCCCAGAGTGAGCTACCTCTTGAGGAAAAGCCAGTGTGGGCCTCATGGTCCGGCAATCTCCTGGAATTTTCAGAGGAATTCTCCCTGCTGGAGAGGTTGTCCCTGTGACTGCAGCTGGAGTGTCCAAGGCTTCAGGACAGATAGACATTGGGACATTTTCCAAAGCATAGTTACAGCTGGAAAGGCTGCTAACCTCTTGCACACTGTCACTGTGTTTCAGAGAAGGGCACTGGTAGGCCTGGTAGGACACTTGGGTGGTGGTGGTGATCACTGTCTGCAGGGTGGGGGCCCCTGCTGGCACTGTCGTGAGGTACCTGCAGGGAAGCTCTGAGTTATAATAAGGGCATGTGGCCATGGCCTGGCACTTTCTGGGGTCAGTCCTCTCCTCAAGACCAGGATCTCCAAGTGCTGATTTCCAGCCATGCTGTGTACTGGGGAACTCAAAGCTTCTCTCGTAGCTACTGTATGAGTTGACGTTGTACTGTAGTGTGTTCAGATGAAGCCAATCTGTGTCATTAGGGAGGCTGGTAGGACCTTTATAAAGGGCGGGACATGGACTGGAATTTGTGTACCCAGGACCTGTCAATTCATAGCTGCAAGGTGGCCTGGACCAATAGATCCTTGTGTTGGGATATTTCTGAAAGGGTGGCATCACATCTCCTGGAAAGGTGGCCAGGTCGCAGATGGCTTTGTAAGCATCAGAGTTTACAGGAGAAGGGCAAGGCTGCCCTAGCAGTGAGAAGCCAGTGTCAGGAATTGCATCCAACAGTTCTGGGTTTTCCAAGGGAGGTGTGCTGTTGAAATGTTCACTGCCGTCTTGGTTCTCTGCTGCCTAAAAAAGGGACATATACAGATATATATAACACGTAAATGTGTGGACAGCTTTATCCATCATAACAGCCTACCACATAAATAAAAACAAACTTCCCATTGGTGGCTCTGTATTGTGAACAGTACACTGCTAAAGGACAAGATTTGGGCCTGTCCCCAGAGGCTGCTAATCGACACAGTGAATGAGGACATTCCATGGTGGCCACGTAGGATGGCCCTGTCCTCACCCATGTGTGTTCACAGTAGCAGAGGCGGGAGCCCCCAGAGCTGCCTTCCCATCTTGACTCTGTCCCTCCTGAATTGAACAAGTCAGAAAGTAACCTTTCTGCCTCTCAGATTCCTCATTTTAAGTATGGGCTTAATTATAGCTATGTGATCATGGGGTCTTTGTAATGATCAAATGTATGAAACTCTTAACTCAGTGCTTGGCGTGTGGAAATGCCCAAACGGTGTCAGCTTCTGTTATCTTCACACTAACACTCTGCCCACATGACAGGCTTCATTTGAAAAGCTAACTGTATCAAGTTGCCCAAAGAAATTTTACCTGTTCCTGTGTAAATAACGCTGCTATAGTTTGGAAGTTAAATGCTCCCCCCAAAGTCTATGTATATAGGCTTGGTCTCCGGGGTGGCGCTATGGGAGGTTAAAAAATGAGTCCTCACACAAGAGGCCAAGAATAGCCAAGGCAATACTCAGTCAAAAGAACAATGCAGGAGGTATCACAATACCTGACTTCAAACTATATTACAAAGCAGTAGCAATAAAAACAGCATGGTACTGGCACAAAAACAGACATGAAGACCAGTGGCAACAGAATAGAGGACCCAGATATGAAGCCACACAGCTATAACCAACTTGTTTTTGACAAAGGAGCTAAAAATATACGATGGAGAAATAGCAGCCTCTTCAACAAAAACTGCTGGGAAAACTGGTTAGCAGTCTGCAAAAACTGAAACCTAGATCCAGTTAGTCACCCTATACCAAGATTAACTCAAAATGGATCAAGGAATCTTAAAATCAGACCACAAACTCTAAAGTTGATACAGGAAAGAGTAGGAAATACTCTGAGTTAGTAGGTATAGGTAAGAACTTTCTCAAACAGAACCAAGGCAGCACAGCAACTAAGAGTAGCCTAGATAAATGGACCTCATAAAACTAAAAAGCTTCTGTTCATTCAAAAGAAATGGTCTCTATAACTGAAGAGAACACCCACAGAGTGGAGAAAATATTGGTCAGCTACATCAGACAAAGGACCGATAACAGAATATACAGGAACTTAAAAAAACTAAATATCTCCCAAAAACTAATGAACCAATAAAGAAATGGGCAAGTGAACTAAACAACTTCTCAAAAAGAAGAATTCAAATGGCTAAAAACACATGAAAAATGTCACCATCTCTAGCAATAAAGGAATACAAATTAAAACCACACTAAGATTCCATTCACCCTGTTAAAATGGCCATGATCAGCCACCACCAACAACAGGTGTTATCGAGGTGCAGGGAAGAAGAACCCTCTTACACTGGGTAGGAATGCAAACTAGTACAACGATCTGGAAAAAAATTTGGAGGCTACTTAAAAAACTAAACATTGATCACCATTTGATCCAGCAATACCACTCTTGGGGATATACCCAAAAGACCGTGACACAGGTACTCCAGAGCACCTGCACACCCATGTTTATTGCCAGCACTATCACAATAGCCAAGTTATGGAAACAGCCAAGATGCCCACCACTGATGAATGGATTAAGAAATGTATCTATACAACAATGGAATTTTATGCGCCATGAAGAAGAATGGAAAATGTTATCATTGCTTGGTAAATGGATGGAATTGGAGAACATCATTCTGAGTGAGGTTAGCCTGGCCCAAAAGACCAAAAACTATGTTCTTCCTCATATTGGACATTAGATCAAGGGCAACACACAACAAGGGGATTGGACTTTGAGCACATGATAAAAGCAAGAGCAACAAGGGAGGTGTGAGGATAGCTAAAAAATTACTAGCATTTATTTGCCCTTAACGCAGAGAAACTAAAGCAGGTACCTTAAAAGCAACTGAGGCCAATAGGAAAAGGGGACCAGGAACTAGAGAAAAGTGAGATAAAAAAGAATTAACCTAGAAGGAACACACACGCACAGGAAATCCAATGTGAGTCAACTCCCTGTATAGCTATCCTTATCTAACTAGAAAAAAACCCTTGTTCCTTCCTATTATTGCTACTCTCCTTTTCAACAAAACTAGAGATAAGGGCAAAATAGTCTGTTGGGTATTGAGGGGTGGGTAGAGAGGGGGCGGTGCGGTGGTAAGGGAGAGGTTGGGGGCAGGGGGGAGAAATGACCCAAGCATTGTATGCACATATGAATAATAAAACAAAACAAAACAAAAACCACCACAAAAAAAAATGAGTCCTAGTGGGAGGTTTTAGGTCACTGTGGGCATGCCCTTAAGGGGGGTAGTGGGACTCTGGACTCTTTCTCTTTGGCTTCTAGCCATGAGGTGAGGGTTTCTTCTGCCATGCCCCTTTCACCATGATGTGCTGTCTCACCATAGTCCCAAAAGCAGTGGATCAACTGATCATGGACTAAACTCTGAGCCAAAATAAACCTTTCCTTTGTTTAAGTTGATTATCTTAGGTATTTTGTTACAGTAACAGAACACTGACTGACACAGATGCTAAGAGCCCTCTCAAGGAAACCCTGTGAAGTCACTGTTGGTTTGCACATATAGTAGGTCCCCTTTATCCACAGTTTTCCTTTTTGAGGTTCCAATTACTCACAGTCACCAAGGTTGAAAACATAGCAAATGGAACATTCCAGAAATAATCTGTAAGTTTTAAGTAATTTTAATAGTATATTGCTATAATTATTCTATTTTATTATTAGTTATAATTAATCTGTTACTATGCCTAACTTACAAGTTGAACTTTATTATAGGTACATATGTATAGGAAAAAACAGGATACGTAGGCCTTGGTACCGTCTGTAGTTTCAGGCATCCACTGTGGGGGGGTCTTGAACCACTCACCCTATGTATGCTTCTGACAGCCCAGTAATAATTAATGTTTATAAAGTGGTTATCTTCTAAATGCTTTCCAGGTGTTAATTCATCTAGACTTCACACCATGTGCAGGCTAAAGGTACAGTTATCATGGCCATTTTAGAGACCAGGAAATGGAGGGCAGACAGGTTGACGCCCTTCAAGATGAGAGAGTGCTACCGTATTTCTTCTTCATTAGTGTTGGATAAATGTCCTTGAATCAGGATGTCACACATCCTAACTATATCATTGCCTGTAGAGATGGTTTATCTTTTTTAAAGAAGGGATTAGAGACCCTAACCAAATGTTGGTTTCATGACATTTGCTAGAGATGTTTCATTTTTACATAAAGTCAAAGCTTTGTCATTAACACACAGCATTCACATTTCAATCAGTTATCAGAGTATCTTGTGATGAAGATGAACTCAGCCCACGGGGCACTGTAGGCCATCCATTACCTCTGGTCCTGGGATTCTCTTTTTTTGGAGTTGGTACAAAGAGGCCACCTGCCTCTTGAGGGCACTTCTTCTAGCTTCCGTCTCAGATTTACTCTCTGGTCTTGGGTGATCATGAACTCCCTTGGCCTGAGATAATGAAGACATGGGTCATGTATTTGTTCTTCTAAAGTCATCTTTCCCAAGATGCAAAATTGTTTTATTTTTCCAGAACTGTCTAGTAAAAATTATTGAAAATAAAACAGCATCAGTACTAGACATCTTAAAAGATGACTTGCAATCCTTTCACCCTATTAAATAAGTTATGACTTGGTTAGCTACATCTGGCTCTTAGTGAGTCAGCAATGGTGGTGTGCACCTATAATCCCAGACTCGAGTCCAGCCTGGGTTACACAGTGAGACTATGTCTAAAAATGAAATAAGATAAAAATTTTGAAAAAGGAGTACACAGTATGTGAGCTAATTTCTAGGAACCCAGGAGGTCGCTGGGGTGTCCATCTCTTACTTCTGACCACGGGAGCTACCTTTGGTTCCAAAGCGGAAGAAGGTGGCTTGGTCCCTATGCTATGATGAAAATCTCCATCACCGAGTGTGTTCTCATCCACCTACCTGAAAAAATATTGCGTTGCCATCGAGCCGCCAGAAGTTGGTCACAGGGTATCCGCTATGCCCTCGGCAAGGCACCAACTCCAAAGCAGAATGACAGTTGGGACACGCTTTCTCTGCAAACATCGGAGGGAGACATATTAGTAACACCCCACCTTTCTTGAGGATGTGACTGTGGTGGTTGTTGGTGTTGCGCATGGCCCAGCCGCTCAGGTGGCGCTGCGCCTTCCTCTCCTCGCTGCTGTAGATGAGGCGCACGTAGCCGTTGGGCCACTCCCGAAAGTGGTCAAAGTGGGCTGGCTCCTGGGAAGGAGCAAGGAGAGGACAGCAGTGATGTCATCACACACGTCATGCTTTGCATCCTCTCCAAGCACATCAGAGAGATATAAAAAAAAGCAAAAAACAAACTATGCTATTAGAAAATACCACTCATTCCATTTGCTTCTTTTGACAACCCAGTAATAATTAACGTTTATAAAATGCTTATCTTCTTTTTTTTTTTTTTCATATGTGCATACAAGGCTTGGGTCATTTCTCCCCCCTGCCTCCACCCACTACTTACCACCCACTCCGCCCCCTCCCTCTCCACTTGGTTTTGCATCTAGGAGTGATTTCAGCTTAGCAAAAATAAAAATATTTTCATCATTTTCTCATCATTTGAGCTATTTAGCAAATTAATGAGCTACCTGCCTCTTTGAGCCTGTTAATTAATTCTACAAATATTTATCGAATACCTACTGTGTGGCACGCACTATTTTTTTTTCTTTTATCATTCATATGTGCATACAAGGCTTGGGTCATTTCTCCCCCCTCTCCCCACCCCCTCCCTTACCACCCACTCTGCCCCCTTTCTCTCCCCCCAACCCCCTCAATGCCCAGCAGAAACTATTTTGCCCTTATTTCTAATTTTGTTGTAGAGAGAGTATAAGCTATAATAGGAAGGACCAAGGGTTTTTGCTGGTTGAGATAAGGATAGCTATATAGGGAGTTGACTTGCATTGATTTCCTGTGCGTGTGTGTTACCTTCTAGGTTAATTCTTTTTGATCTAACCTTTTCTCTAGTTCCTGGTCCCCTTTTTCTATTGGCCTCAGTTGCTTTTAAGTTTCTCTGCGTTAAGGGCAACAAATGCTAACTAATTTTTTAGGTGCTTTACCTATCCCTCCCTTGAAGTGCTTATCTTCTAAATGCTGTCCAGGTGTTAATTCATTTGGTCTTCACAGCACATGTAGTCAATAGGTACAATCATCATGCCCATTTTACAGAATAGAAAATAGAATTCAGAGAGATTGATTGGATTGTCCAAGTTCGCACAGTTAGCAAGCCCTGGCTATAAGATTTTTGCCCTACAGTCTGACTCCAGAGCCTGGGCTCCTTATCAGTGTGTTGTTATTCCACTTCTTGTTGTGTTCCAATGTTGAGTATCAAAGTACCAATGCACTGAAGTACAATTTAGCTTGTAAATTTCTTTACAAGCTCTTGGCTTTTTAATCCCAAATCTGCCAGCCACATCAAGATGACAACTAGAGCAACATCAGAGAAGCAGGGACATTTTTCCTCTGTATTCTTACCTTAGCTCTGCAAGTTTAAAAAGGTACCATGGTAAGGACATAGTGATAAATTTTGAGCTTTTCAGTGTTGGTGAGCCAGCCTGGAACTAGACTGTACCCACCCTCAGCAATATGGGATTGTCATTCTCAGCAAAGTGTCACATGCCCAAAATAATGAGTCATGTTTAAAACACTGAGCATTGCTTTAGTATTTGCATTTGGCAGTCTTTGTTTTATGCATTATTTTACTGCAACAAATGTCTTTTATATATAAATTTAATATAATTTACCCTTACTGAACATTTACTATTTATTGGTACTCTCTAGTGCAGGGTCTAATAAACTGGGACTTGGTGGCCAAATCTCAGCCTTAACTTAAGAATGTGTTTTACATATTTAAAAATCAAAAGAAAAAATTATATTTCCTGATATATGAGACCAATATAGAATTGAAATTACAGTTAAGATGTTTGGTACATAGCCATATTCATTCTTCTGTGGATTATCAATGGATGCTTCTGTACCACAAGACACTTGAGTATTGGGACAGAGCAGAAGGGGTCACAAATCCACATCATTCATAGCTCTAACCCTTACATGACCTTGCAAGAGAAGTGTCTTCACACACATCTGTCAGATAAGGAAGGGGAATCTAGATAGATAATCCTCCACCAGAGCATAGTTGGGAATTAAAGGGAAGATCTACAGTATCTAGACCCTCCTGGCCTTACTGGTATGATAAAGGTTCAGAAAGTATTATTGCATTAGCAGCCATTCGTAGCTCTTCCTCTCCTGTTACCAAGGAAAATTACATCAAACCTTTGCAAAGTCCTCAGTTGGACAATTCAGACTTGTGTACATTGTTGGCATTTTCCTTTCTATTAGTAATAACATAAAGGGATGATTTTATTTCCAAATCCATAAGGCTATTGTTGGAATCATTATTTTTACTAATAGGTATAGTTTATCTTTTTTCTTTGAAATATTAACTTTCAGTTACAAATGAAATATATGGTGATGTATTATTAACACTATGTTTGTATTAGAAGCAAATGTCTTTATTTTAAATGTGAATGTTTCAATTTAAGGATTTTCAACTTAAGTGACAAATCAATTTTCTAGAAGAGAGAATGTCTTTAGTACTCCCCTTGAAGGGTTAGGTGAGGCCCTGTGTTTCACCAGCTCTTGAGGTAGGGATGCTGGAGGTGAAGCCACAGACACTATGTTTTAAACCAAACAACAGCAGAGGATGCCAAGATTTTTTAAAGACAGGGTCTTGTTATGTAACTTAGGTTGGACTCAGTCTCCCTAGTACTGGGATTACAGCTGTATACTACCATACCCAGCTCTAATATTGAGTTCTATTTGCTCTAATGTGTTGGTAACACACACACACACACACACACACACAGAGAGAGAGAGAAGAGAGAGAGAGAGAGAGAGAGAGAGAGAATATGACAGGAGATCTGGAGGAGAATTTGAGATTATTATCTACTTCCCTCACTCGATGACAGGTCAGTAGCCTGAGACTAAGACAAAGTCAAGGATTCTCTCAAGGTCAGATAGCCGGTTTCTCTCTCTTACCAGGTTAGCCAGAACAGAAATAGAATGCTCCCTTTGTCCAGTCCTTTTTTTATATATACATATATCCCAGTGTGCCTGTCTCTTCGTGTACCCATTCCTTCTGAGATTTAAAACATACCCTCTGATTAAGAATCGGTGTCCCTTGCCAGGCTCAGAAGGCTCTTGTCTGTAATCCTAGCTACTTGAGAGGCTGAGATCAGGAGGATTGAGGTTTGAGGCCAGCCTGGGCCAAAATAAATAGAGCAAAATGGACTGGAGGTGTGCCTCAAGTAAAGCCCTGAGTTCAAACCCCAATCCTACCAGGAACCAGAGTCCCAAAGGAGAGGTAACTCATATCTCCTGGGAAGTGGAGAAGATACCTGAGGGATGAGCCTTACTGCATTATTTGGATGTGATTCTTTTCTAAAACGGATGCTTAGATTGTTTCCTCTGAAGATTTCTGTGGCAGAAGTTAGCAACAAGGAGACACAATTATAAACGTGGTCCAGTTTCACAACAGTGGTACAGCATGACTCTAGAATAGGCAGACTTTAAAACAAACGAGTAAAACTTACTGCACATCTGAAATAGTGCTGAACTCTTGAGAGGCTACACCTTGCTGATGAATTACCATTCATTAAATGCTTATCTTGCACGTAACAGAGACTGAATAAATGCTGTTTCTCTTATCCCTGTGCCATCCCTTTGCTGGAAGTCCACCTTTGAAAATATTTGGAAAGCAACTCTTATTGTTCTTACACCCCCATCCAAAACTTTAAAGTCATTTCTTTTTTTTTTTTTTCTGGCAGAGCCACTCTATCACTGGAGTCACACCGTCAGTCCTTTTGTTTTTATCATGTTTTTGAGGTAGGATCTCACTAATTTGCCTTGGCTGATCTTGAACTGGTGATCCTCCTGCCTCTGTCTCTCAGGTAGCTGGGATTCCAGGACTGAGCCACCACACCCAGCTCACCCCTCATTTTGACCCAAACTAGTCTAACCAAACCAAACTGCTCAATTCATTCTCCCTTGGCATCAATAAAACCAAACCAAAAAAAATTTATCCTAAGAGGATGATGATTTTCTGTCATTAGAGAGGCAAGTTTTGGCAGAGGGTGGCTGTGTTAGCAGCAGTATAGTACTCTGAATAAATTGTCAAGTCTGGAAATCTGTTTTAGATTTGGTTCACCTCCATTTATAGTCCTAGCTCACAGCTTTGAGCGTGAGAAGCAGGGATACTTATATTTGCTGAGTTTCCATGCTTCCCCAGATTTCTTTTGGATTTGAAACAAGTAGGTAAAGAGAGAGACACTTGAATTCTGCCCTGGTTAAGGGAAAATGTGGGGAGAGGCATCCTGCTCTCATCTACTATAAAGGAAGAGCCTGATTGGCATCTCTTGCTTCTTTTGGCATATTTTCTGATAAGCACTGGAGTGAACACATCCACATCTCTAAACCCAACTCTGTCTTTTGGAGCAGCCAGACAACTTCCCTTTATATTTGAGAGCCCTCAGAGTCTCCACAAGAATTTACATGTACTCGTTTTCTTTGGATGGACAGCACCGCACCTGCCGGCAGACACTGGGTCTTACTCACCTGAGGCATTTGCGGATCGTTGATGTCCCAGTTGAGTTTCATTCCGTAGGAACACACGTGGTCTGTGTCCTGCATCTTGTCCTCGGGCATCTGCCCAGCCTCTATCTCCAGCCAGGATCCTGAAAAACAGAAGAAAAAGCAAGAGGTGTGCAAGGCAAGGTGGCTTCTCTCTCTCTCTCTCTCTCTCTGTGTGTGTGTGTGTGTGTGTGTGTGTGTGTGTGTGTGTGTGTGAGAGAGAGAGAGAGAGAGAGAGAGAGAGAGAGAGAGAGAGAGAGAGAGAGAGAGAGAGAGAGAGAGAGAGAGAGAGAGAGAGAGAGAGAGATTATTTAGAAAGCCAGAAGCTGGACCAGAGCAGAGCCCTGTCCTGGGCTGCGGTGCTGAAATGTGTTCCCCTGGAGCAGCGCGTCCGCAGCTGCCTGCGCATTTATAAATAGCCCCGCCGGCTCCGCCTTTCCTCCCCGCCCTCTGTAGGACCCGGCTGGAGAGCCAGCGGGTCACATCCTCCCGGACAGAGCCAGGAATGGAAAGGGAATTTAAACTGAGCTCAAAAAAAGAAGGGAAGCCAAGATACTGGGGTTGGGGAGCAAGTTAAAATACTTCATTAAAGTTGATGACCTTTCTTTTTTTTTCTCCCTAAGTGCACTCGACCTTCATGGTTTACAAAAGGGCTTAGAGGCTTTTGAAGCAGAGGTTTTCAGCAAAGTGGCGGGAGAGCCAAAACTCAATTCCAGGAGAGCCGGCCGTGCGCCCTAGTCTCAGTAACCATGCCCACAGCTCCTAGTTTAGGACCACCGCCTTTTGACTTCCTCTCCGGGTTTTTGTGCGTATTCGGGAATCCATGCTCGGCTGCTTGGGCCGTCCGAGGGGGTACCAAGCGGTCAGGTAGGGTCTGGGTGCACCACGCTTGCTGGGTTGCGGAGAGACCTGACCCTGCCCCCGGGAAAACCCAGAGAAAGTTGGGAGGAGTCCAACTTGAGCTAGATGGAGGAGGGCAATCCTGAGCTCTGCTACCCGGGCTCAGAAGTCCAAAGAACCGATGTGTCCCTGCTGCCTCTGCATCCTTGGAGCCCCATTTCCTTATCTGTTAAATAATGGACTGGGGTTGGGGGGTGGGTCTCAGTTGCCACACACATGAACACCAATCTTAAAAACTATTGCTACTGTGGAGGAAATAGCACGATGAAATCATATTTACCCCTTACAGTTTTGGGAGGCTTTGTGGGAGGAGGGCGATCCACAGAATCCTGCGAGAAAGAATGTGGGCTGCCCAGCGCATCGGGGAAGCCTTCTTTACCTGTGCATACTCCTCACTTAGGGCGACCGGCACCTGGAGGCATCCAATATAAGAAATCAACTGGAGTCGCTCATGCCGCTCTTTAGCCATTCCAGAGCTGATTTGGCAAAGGAAGATGAGCTTCCGAAATTTATTCCCTGCGCGTTTGTTTTGCATCCGGCACGCTTCCATTTTCAGTCCTAGCCAAAGAAGACCAGCAGACCCCTCAAGGTGAATTAGAGGAGGATGTTAGGACCCGCGTCCCTTCAAGCCCAGACACCCTCAAGACCTAGACCTTGACCAGGCGCAGGACGCCCAAGGCGCGCGGACCACAGCTGAGCAGGAGCGCATCTTGCAGGATCAAGCACTTGGCAAAAGGAGGGCAGAGCAGGTGCATTTTAACCTGTGCTGACTAACCTCGGGAAGCGAAGGATTCTTCACATTCCCAGTTCATTTAGCTCCCCAGTCAAGGGCACAGTGAGGCGTGCTTACAAAAGGTCCAATAGCAAAGCACATTTTCTGAGCAACGCGCCCAGTGCAGGGTCCAGACGTGGGGCAAAATGCTAACGTTCGGCAGTTCTAGCTTTAACCTGGGCTCCTCCCAAACAAATACGAAAAGTCCCACTAGAAGAAAGAAATTTGCTCATCTTCAGAACTCCCCCAAAGTTCTCCTGAAAGGTTACCTGGGTCGGGGATTCGGACTGAAATCCCTCTCACATGGTCGCTACTAAGGTCTAGGTGAGAAGGAAGACACGGGTCTCTTCACCCTCTGACTTTTAGCATACTAATTCCCGCCAACAACTCCCATCAATCATTTGCTTTTTGTGTTATTTTGTCTTTCGAAATTAAGTTAAAATTACTGACCATTGGAAATAAGTTTATGTTTTGTTAAATGTGATACCTGAAGGCAATTTGTATTTAAAAATTTTTTTTTCATTTATTCACACATGCATACATTGTTTGGGTCATTTCTCCACCCTGCCTCCCTCCCCCAGCCTTTCCCCTCCCCCCCTCAGTTCCAGGCCCCCCCCCCAAAATAGTTATTTTACATTACCTTTGAAAATGCATAGAAATTAACTCTGGTTTTGTGAAAACATTACTAATATTTTTTTGGTCTCTATGCCTTTGAAATGTTCCAAGAGAATCCTGACCCTTCAAAATATAAATACAAACTTTTAACATTAAAAGCAATTTCTGAATGGATTCTGGTGTTCAAAACCAAAACAAAGTCACAGAGCCTCCACCATATTTAGCTTGTGAAGAATTAGAGTAAATATTCCAAGGTGCCCTAAAATTGTGTCTTGGTAACATGTTAGTAAAATAAGCTAATCAAAGTGAAAATATAACAAAATTGGAATTATAGTCAATTTTGTTATTTTTAATATCTCCTAAAGATCTGAATGAATTCATTGCCTGTATCGAGTCCAGAAGGATGTATTTTTCTTCCCAAACCTGAAAATAATTGATAATGAACTTTTCTGTCTAGTATTAAAATTTAAATTTTTATTCTCTAAAATAAAGTGCATTTAAACTGTATTTTGTGGCTTTTGCCTTTTATTGGCATATATTAAAGTGTACATATATAAACATGTAGTGGGCTTCATGGCATTTCCATACGTACATATCAGGCACTTTGATCATATTCGCCCCTTCTATTACTCTACCTTCTCCCCTACTCCACCCTTCCCTTCCCTTTTACAGTTTTGTTAAACTGTATTTTGATCACTGTTTTTATTACGCTTCCATTCTTTCCTGCCCTAATATTTACATCGACTCAAAATACCTTATATTCACACCTGTCCCTGCTTTGATTACTAGTTTAATACTGAAAATGCCTATTAATTCAAAAAGAAAGGAAGAAGCCTTTGAATTTGCTAGGTTTAGATTAAGCTAGCTAAGTTACCGAGAGTATATTTACAACACATTTGCCAGGAAATGGACGTGGTCAGCGTCGACATCGCGTTGTCGAATGGACGGGGCATGCACGCAAGCCCTGAATTCAAGTTAAACGTATTGTGTTTTGCTTTGATGTAGACAAATATCTTCCGTAAACATCACGGCATGAAAGACAGCGTCCAACTATGTTACAAGTTGAGATTTCCACAAAGAATGTTTAAGTTTGAGGAGGCATTTTGCTTTTTTGTAAAGAAAACTCCAGTCCAACTAATTTTTGTCACCGTGTTCACGGAACAGGTCACCAAGTGGAGGCAACCTAGCTGTTAGCACATATTCTTAGGTTAAAGGATGTGGCCAAAAAAACAAGCATTCTATTCGCTTAAAAAAAAGAAAGAAAGAAAAGGAAAGCCCGACCAAGCTAATTTGAAACCTGCCCATGCACTCCTCTTCTTTTTTTAAAAAAATCTTTAAAATTTTATTTTTATTATATTGTTGTACTGGGGATACACTACGACAGTTACAAAAGTGTTTGCAATATATCTTAAATTCACACTCTCCATCATTCTCCTTTCTTACAATAGTTTCAACAGGTTTCATTTTTCCATTTCGCACTCTCCTTCTTTTGTGGTATCAGGAATGTGTTCATAATTTCGGATCCAAGCCTGGTTCCTACAGTTCAGCTGCAGTGAATACGCATCAACCGCCTCACACCAGCTCCTGCGTTGTTCCGGGTGCCGAGAAAATAACCGCTTCCGCCAAGGGCGGCCATCAGTTTGGAATTTGGCCCCCCCCCCCCAAAAAAAAAAAAAGGTTCAGGTTCACATCTCAGTGGTGCTGAGGTCTCCGAGGGCGCGGACCCCACGTGGCCTGATGGAGAGCGCCGGCTCCCTGCACGCGCCTCTGGAGGCTCCAACACCGGCTCCTAATAGATTTCAGGAGCAGGTTGGTCTCATCAGAGTTGTTGGAGAAGACTGAGATCTTGTCCCGAGGCCCCAACCCGCCAGGATCTCGGTGCTCGGAGCCGCAGAGGGCCGCAGGGCCGGGCCTGGACAGCGCAGCGTGGGGCCGGGATGCACGCGGTGGTGACCTGCGGAGCAGGCGCGGGTGCAGGGCAGGTGGCCTCCTCTCCACCCCGCGGCCGGCGCCAGGGCGCACGGTCGGGTCTTCCAGACCCCGGCTCGCCGGCCGGAGGCGCTGGTGCCCTGGTGCGGAGTCTGCGTGTGCCCCCACAGGCCGGGGCTCCAGCCGTCTGGCCTCCAGGAGCGCTGGTAACTTGCAGTTGATCCGCAGCCTTCAGCAAGACCGGTAGGCAGCAGGATGGAGGCTCCCGGCATGGGGAAACTGGAGTGATCATGTTGGGAAAGAAGGCGAGTTCTCAAGCTGCTCTAGTCGTTGGTCCCCAGCCTTCTTCCCCCGTGCTGCGAATCCGCTTACCTGCAGAAAAAACCCAAGCCCGGGGTCTTGGTATCTCAGAGCCCTTCCTTTCAGCGTTCATTTTGCTAGCATTCAGCGACTATTCTGCTGGTGGAAAAGTCTAGATTTGGGTCTTTGATGTCACCCTATTTTTCCTACTTATAAATAACGATAATATTGTAAGATAAGTTGACATTTAAGCATTTGGATCAATTTCATAGTAGTAAGATTAAAAAAAAATCTCTAGAGGAGATTTAAAAAATATCTTGTATCTACCATACCTCTCAATTAAGTTATTGGATGAAGCGAGGAGATGAGCCCCTCCTCAATATGTGGTATAATGAGCTGAAAAATGACAGTTTTACAGAGGGACCCAGGGGAAACTTCTTGAGGAAAATGTGAAACAATTCACTACTAAGTGACTTGGACACGTCCTTTTGTGACTGTTCATGTTTGACCCTAAAAATTTCAGCATGTAAGTGCTAAAGTAACATTTAAAATTTGTCACAAATACATAGCTTTAAAATCATGACTCAGCTGGAGACATATTTTTAAACTTTATTTTAGAAATCCTCATTCTGAAAATGATTTATTCCAATTCTATTTTGCAGTAATTTCTACAGAGTTTGAGTATGTTTATTTGATACGATCATTTATCTAAAGGATGCTTGTAGTTATCATAGGCTATGCTAAAGAAGGCTGGATAAATTTTTTTTTTTAAAGCACCATCTTAGGTCTGTAATCAGCGACATGAGCAGACAAAGAATTTCTGCTTGGGAAAATATTATAAACCTTTAATTCTTTTGTTTTTAGAACTTGAAGAGCATTTCTTTGAAATGAAACAAAAATTAAATCTTTTTTATTGCACACAGAAAAACGAAGGTCCTTTGCAGTTTGTTAAAGAAGATGATGGAGTCGGGAAAGCCCAAGATGCTTTCTGGGTAATAATAAGTTTATTTTGTACTTAGTGTGTTCTTCCTAACGTTCTGTTCTCAGTGGCTCATTGGCACTATCAAGCCAGAAACATATCCAATTTTCAACCTGTCTCCCCAATTCTGTCTCCAACTATCCTACCAATATAGTGTAACATCTTGTCCCAGCATTCTTCCAGGTGAAAGTGGATAGTGTTGAACAAAGCAGGCACAATTCTTGCCCTCATGGAGCTCAAGTGGCAGAGAGCCAGAGCAACAGGTTTCCAAACAAAGTAACAGAGTAAGAATGAAAAGGCACAGGGTATTGTAATGGAGAATAATGGAGGGTACAAGGAGGTGGAGGAGGTGGTCCTGGAAGACCCACTGAAAAGGTGACACTTAAACTGAGATATGAGGGGAGCCAGCCATGTAGAAAGTGGTGAGCAGCAGTCTAAGCACACAACTGTACATTCAAAGGTCCTGAGGCAGGGAAGATCCTGACTTATTCTAGGATTCATTAGTAGAAAAGTTGGTCTAAAAAAGTTGGCAGAGATCAGTTCTTGCACAGCCTTGCAGACTAAAGAAAGGAGTTTGGATTTATTCTGAGTGCCGTGACAGTTTTAAAGCAGGGAGAAGCATGGGCTTTTGAGATAGAGGATCTAAATGTGAATCCCACTGCATGGTCTGGCAAAAGTTTCTAACCTCCCCCATCCTCACTACTGTCCCTTGACCCTCTTTCTTACTGTGGCGGGTGAGGATTAAATGGGAGCCTTGGCAGAACACTTGCCACAAAAAAGCTCACTGAGGTGACTTAGGAAATATTCTGTTCAAGTGGAGTGATTTCAAATGCGACTCCTTTATTTTTAAAACATTTTATTAGTATAATTAGCACTAAGAGTAAGTGGAATTTAATAAGTAAAATGCCTTATTAACATAGCATTGTATATTGTAATTTATCCTGTAGGACTGGATTTTTAAAGATAAAATCATCTTTTATATTACAGGTATTTAAGGAAATGTTTATTATTCAACTCTGTCTAGTCATGTGACTGACTTATGTTCAAGCAGCAGAGATTAGTTTTTTCGTTCATCATGGCCAATTTATGTATTCATCCACCTCTATGGTACATAACTATTAATTGTATTTTTCTTCCTCCTGTTATCATTTCTGTCCCTTAATGGCCCAAATATTTTTGTTTGTTTGTTTGAGAATTTGCAACATTACCAATCGTCTTCATGTACTGATGCCTATTATTAAAGGGCAAATTTCCTTAAGTTTGGTGGTTCTCAGGCTTTTGGGAGCCTCTGCTAACAAGTCCCCAGGTGATGAAAATCTGCAGGTGATCCAGGAGCCATCTTCTGAGAACCCCTGAGTCCAATGGAAACTTTGCTCATTTCTTAGGTTATTGTTGACCAGTATCTCCATTGTGTATTATTTCACACTGAGCTATTATTGATGATGACATTAGAGACATTCCTATAAAACAAATGTTCTTGGGAGAAAAAGTAACTCATGAACCATCACCTTTCCAGCTTCAATCACTTATTACTGATGTGTTCCATGGTGAAGGATTTCAGAAAATGGAAGAATATCTTCAGAAAGAGAACCAGTTTCCTCAAAAATATAACCATCTTCTATTACATGATCTTGACAGAGCAATAAATAAGGCAAGTCAGTTGGTTTGTTTGGGGACTAAATACCAATGTGTAACTATGTGTAAGATTTAATTTCATGTGGTCTAATACCTAGGAACTGGACAAAAATGAATTTCAGCAAGTTTCACTGTTGCTGAAATGCATTCAGAAATTCATCAAAGATGACATCAAAGAAGATGAGCCCTTGCTAATTCAGCAGGGACTGATCTCCAAGATAAGTGTCATACTTTTTAAATGACTGGATAACTTAGAAACCTGTGTGAGGGGTTGGGGCTGAAGCTCAGTGGGAGAGCACTTGCCCAGAAGTTGGGGAGAGGGGGCAGGAGATAAAACAAACTAGTGTGGATTTGGTTGGCTAGTTAAGTTTGCTATTTTCTGTTCTTTGAAATCAAATTTGAAAAGAAATTTGTATTCATTCTTGTTGTTTCTGTTCAGTCTTAAATTCAATATGTTTCCTATGTTTTTGCTGGTGCAGTACTTTGGAACAGCAGAGGACTGAATCAGAACAACTCCATTTGACAAGTCTATGCAGTAATGGTGTGCTTTTAATTATTTCAATGAATTTGGGAAGAGGAGCTGAGTAGGGAGTAGACGATTTTAATAGACTTGTTAATAAGATTAGATCTAGAAAAGTCATCAAAAACTTTTCTTTGCCCTTGTAATACCCCAGTCTTCCCACTTTCTAAACTCTGGATAAAACTGAAAAGACAATAGAAAATATCTTTATTCAAAGTCACTTTCATTATAAAAATTCACTGCTTTTTAAAATGATCTAAAAGGTACTATTTTGAGCACCTTTATTAATGGCATCAACAAGCGAAGCAGAGTTTGCCAGATCTCTTCCTACATCTCTTCTCTTCCCATGTGAGGGACTGCTTTTGCTAATGGAAGGATCGTTTGGTGATAAAGTCTTGTTTTACCCCTTGGGCGCTAGTCCCTAAAGTTAAGACCAGTGGACCAAGGTCCATCTCTGCCCTTTTCAAATAAAATTGCCCTTAATTCTAGGACTGCCCCTTCAGGGTAGAGAGAGTAAATTAGATTTCCCAGAACCCCTCTTCAGGACTTCTAAAGGGTTTGTAGACAACCTTAAAGATCTTAATTTCACATTTAACTTGTAGCTTCCTGAGGCACTAACTCATGCAGATAATGACAGGGAAGAAGAGACACAACCCTAGGGAAATGGAGGAAGGATGTCCTAAGGGTGCTTTGGAAACCAAGCAGATTTGAGGGGTGCTATAAGTTGGAATATGTCCCAACGTTATTTTCCTATTTAGGTTAACAATGCCCTCCCAAGGTTTAAAAAAGTGTCTTATCAAATTCTCATTAGATTTTGAAATCAAATAGGAATTTCCATATTCCATCCATGTTCTAGTTGGTGATGGGAATTTTATAACTACAATTAAGTGCCTTCTGAAACGCATATTTCATGTAGTGTTTGGTCACAGAGAACAGATCAATGTTATAATGGAGAATGGACACTAAATTATGTATTTGTAAAGCCAATTGTTTGCAGGCTCAACCTGCAATTCTACCCCATGGAAGAAGAATTTCCTATGGAAAGGATGTATTTAGCCCTGTACCCTATGATCCAGGAGTGTTGAGCAACTTTCCCTATACCATAATTCTAAATCATCACTGGCTTCTGGTAGTAACGCAGCTGTGGGGACAGATGGGTGTCTGTTAGCTGATGTGTGATCAGGGCACATAAATGGTGAATACTTCCTAGTCCCAAGTATTGATGAACTAATATATTTGCTCCACTTCTCTCTATCTATACTTAATATGTTGGGGGAGATTGAAAAGAAAATGGGATTTTTGGGGGTGGGGATGCATGGAACGGTGACTAACGTGTATGTAAAAATGTAGAAATTTGAGCATGACTATAGGGAGGGAGAAAGTGTAGCCTCAGGTCTGGGTTCCAGTGTAAGAGGGACATTTCTTCCCTCCAGCTGTTGGGAGAGGGAGGATTTAATCTAATGGAAGTATTTGTGATTTGAGATCAAAGAAAAATTACTGGGAACAAAATGATAGTTCTGAAACTGCTGTATGTTACCATCACCTGGGGAGCTTTTCGCAAGCACTACCTGGGCTTCACTAGGGAATCTTAACTTCCTGATCTACATTGGGTCCCAGGCATCAAGGTTTCATAGCTGCCCAGATTTTTCCAATGTAAGCCAATGAAGAGACTCAATCATTTGCTTATGTTCTTCAGCTGGGTGCCTGGCTTCTCGGCTCCAATGTGCCAAGTTTAGAAGGGCCCTGCTCCTGAAGACTGGTTCATCAAAAACTCATGTTACTAACTTCATGTCTAGCTGATGATTTTTAATTATGCATGCAGGATTTTTGGTTTTTTTGGGGGTTATTGGAAACAGAACCCAGGGCCTCATGCTAGCTAGACAAGTGCTCTACCTCTTGAGCTACAACTCTAACCTTTCCATTTTTATTTTGTTTTTTTCAGAGTGGGTCTCACTCTCTAGAATACTTTTGGAGTACTTTCCCCAGGGTTCATCTCTTTTGATAATTTGGTTTCTATGGCTTCTCAGATCCACAGATGTCCCCCTGTGTTGGGGAGATTCATTTCTCAAGCTTTCATCTCTAGCCTCTCTATGTGGCTTCTGGAGTCCATCTTGGCCACGTCTTCCATTCTTCCTAGTATTTGAGAACCTATAATTCTGTAGAATTTATAATTCTGAGAATTATACTTCTTATAAATTATATAAATCTGAGTTCATATCTCAGACTCACCAAAAAATAAATAAATCTGAGTACTGTGATTTGGCTCCATTCTGAAGCCATTCTGAAGTATTGTAGATGGGAGATCTTCGAACCAGGCTTACTTGAAATATTATGGTGGGGGGTGGTGGAAAGGTCTTCAGGATGATTTTGCTCCAGTGAGAAAATGATCTATGAAATCTTGCTGAGTAAGCAGTAGTTACTCAGTTGCATGAGGTTCCATCAGCATCTCTTCTCTTGTGCACATGGTCTCCTGGTTTGAAAGAATAACAGGATTTCTGACCATTGAAAGCTTCGCTTCAGACACATCGCTGACTGATGTCACAGAGGACTTCTTTGACACTGCACTGGTAAGGATGGGGCGATAATAGGCAGAAATCTTCAAGTGATTTATAAGACTTCCTTTTTAGGAGATATGAATTTTATTAAAAGATTCCTATATTAGACCAGGCACAGTGGCTCAAGCCTGTAATCCTAGCTCCCTAAGAGGTGGAGATCAGGAGGATCACAGTTTTAGGCCAGCCCAGGCAAAAAGTTTATGAAAACACATCTCAAAGTCTGGGCACAGTGACATGTGTCTGTCATCCCAGCTATTCCAGAAAACACAAATAGACCCAGGGTCCAGGTTAGCCTGGGCTTAATAAAATGAGACTCTTATCTGAAAAATAATACAAAAAAGGGCTTGTGGAATGTTTCAAGTAGTAGATCACCTGCCTAGCAAGTGTGAGGCCCTGAGTTCAAGACCTAGTAACACCAAAGGAAAAAAGATTCCCATATTTTATGATAGAATCTCATATGAAGTAGTAATGGGTATTATACATATATGTGTGTGCATAGATAACCATGTATATAAATATATAAGTAAAATGGTGTAGAAAATTGAAAGGCCATTTATTTTTATACATATAAGTGTATTAAGTAATACATGATTGTGGGTACATGCTCATTTTAATAAAGTAATTCAGATTCCAGTGGGGTTTCTCTAAGATTGTCTTCTGTGTTTGAAGTTATCCCTATCCATTAGGGAACACTAGCACTCATGCAGTAAAGTGATGATAAGTATTGCTATTTTAAAGTAATATGAACTGTACTTTCTCTTTTTATTAGATTACTTGCAGGAACAGCAGTAAAGGTAAGTTGAGTGGTAGGTTGTAATCAGCTACTAGTTTTTCACAGAAAAATAGTTTGGTAAATAAAAGGAATGCTTAAATGATATGTAAGAGGAAATGCCTTAAGTTTTGTATTTGGATCTGTTGACCCTGTTATAATGGTCATATTGTGATATTCTGCTTTCAAGTTGGCTTCCATGGATGGCAGCCAGCAGTGGGGGTTGGTGATGGTGGTTGGTACCTTCTGGTTCACATCTTACTCATTTTTTCCCCTGCCTTTTGATAGAATTTCTCAGGTTTTTCTTGGAAGTCATTGCTTTCATTCTACTCTCATTGTTTCAGCTGTAGACTTCAGTTCTGTGATCATATCTTTTCTCCTTGAAACGCTGTGGGGGTGTGGGGTAGTAGTTTGCTTTGCTTTTCAGTCCATTCCTCCTTTCTCTCTCTCTTTTTCTGCTTGGTATTACAGAGTACTATTTTTCATAGGTGTTCTTGCCACCTGACAACTTCCTGGGTTTGGTCAATTAAAACCCTGGAGGAATATTGGCGGTAAGAGGGAGTAAGTAGGACAGTTCTCTCGCTTTTTCTGCAGGGATATCATCTCCCCAAGTATCTGCGCATTCCCAGCGCCTCTGGCCCATTTGTGCTTGTAGCTTGTGTTTGGTGGTGACTGTGTTTGTCAGCTCTTTATAGCTGTGACAAAATACCTGAAAGAAATCGACTTAAAGGAAAAAGTTTGCTTTGTTTTGTGGTTTTAGTCCAAGGCCAGCCATTCTGTTGCTTTGGGCCTGAGTGAGGTAGAATACTATGGTGGTATGGTGGCAGGGGAGGCTGCTCACTTTATGTCAGCCAGGGATCAGAGATAGCCAAGGACTGGGAGGGACAAGAGAAGCCCTTCAAAGCCATGATCCCTGTGACCTGTTTCCTCTAACTAGGCTCTCTCTAAAAGTCCATGAATACATCAATGAATTTATGCATTGGTGAGGTCAGCACCCTCATGACCCAGTTACCTCTCTATAGTGCCACCAGCTGAGGACCAAGCTTTCAATACATGAGCCTTTGGGGGACATTTTATATCCAAACCATAACAGTGCATATGATCCCTGGATCTGTTAATATAGCTTTCTTGTGAGTCTCCAGCTTTAGGGAATGTGAGAGAGTGACTTTCTGCTGATGTTAATTCCTGGGCTGTCTCCGTGTTTCCCAGTTTGCCTTCCCAGCTTTTCTTCATCTTTGTAACTCATACCCTGCATTGAATTCCCTCAGATTGAAATATCTAGAAGGGCTTTGATTTTTATTTATGTATTTCTTGTTTCATCTATTTCTTGCAAACCTAATTTCTTATTTCATATAATTCATGCTCTTTTTGAGTTTTGAGACACTGGATCAGATACTTCCTAAGTGGTGGGTTTCTTGGTTTTGTTTTGTTTTATTGGTACTGGTGTTTGAATTCAGGACCTTGTGCTTGCTAGGCAGGTGCTCTGCCTAGCTCCACTTTCCTAAGTTTTTAAGTTTTCTGAAGTAAATATTTTTCAGAAGTCACTTTTCTGCTACCTATTGACTAACCAAGTTCCTTTTCCCTCTTTCATAGGGCCACCTGCTGTTAGTTTCTCTTAATACACTTAAAATAAAAACATGGCACCTAGTGTTTGCTAGTTAACAAGATGCATAAGCACCTTCAGTTTTGCATTGTACAGTGGGGCCTCGTTAGAATCTTTTAGGTTTTAAACTGGTGGGTACAATTTTAACCTAATTTCTGGTTCCCAGAGATTATCCATCCCTATTGATATGACTGGTTTGCATTGAAGAAGAGCCTCTTTATATTTGTACTTCCTGGTTGGGGGTCCTACAATTAATTTTATAATTTGGGGTTAAAAAGTATTATAGTTTGTGATAAATAATTTGCATTAAAAAGAAAGATCTGAACCAAAGTTAGCTTGCTATGAGATTTTGCAGTATACACTAGGACTGTCACTTAATGTGAGTACAAAAATGAAATCATAAATAAGCATAAAGTAGTATTCCATATTTTTTTCTGTATATTGACATGTAAATAGCCATTGATGTTTCTGTGATTACATTAATAAAGACCAACATTTTACTTAAAAATTTCTGTTTCTCTGTTATGGACCTTATCAAATTCTTGTTTTTCTAAACTGCACACATATGTCTGAAGTGTATAGAAATAGCAGGAAACTGCAGGAACTGCATGCTGCACATTGCTCTGTCTGGCTAGAGAAGTATCTTTGTTCCACATGTGCCTGGTGTGCTGTCCCAATGAGTAGTCAGTCACACTTTGCGCTGCTGCTGCTGCTACTTTCCTTAGTGGACATCCTTGTCATACAAGTCTGGTGTGGCCTGGCGGGAGGAGGGTTCTGTAATTCTGAGCAGGCTGTAGTGTATCACTTGTTTAGACTTTCTATTCTTGAATTGTTTACAGCTCCCAGGTTTTTGCTTTGTGCCTCTTTCTGCTGTACCTATTCTTTTAATTTTTTATTTTTTTAATTGTGCTGGGTGGAGGTTACATTGTAGCATTTGCAAAAGTTCTTAGTATATATCAGGCATATCATATTTAAATTCACCCCCCTCATTTACTCATTCTTGATGGCATGCACTTGACTCTGAAAATTATGCTTTCAGGGAAAACTCAAATGTTGGATTCCTTCTTACTTAGCTTAGGATTCCTGGTGACAGAAAAGACTATAAATCACTTGATTCAACAGCAGGTGAGTTGCAAATAACACCAGGTAACAGTTGTTCCCAAAACCTTAAAGATGCTTGTGCACAGGTCTCTGTTTTGTTTCTCCCCATGAATGGCTCCTCCAACATCCAAAAGGCACTGAGAACTTTGAACTGCATTTTGAGTACTACACCTCTGGAAGAGAGAAAAAAGCTACCTTTATCAGAAGGCGCATGCTGTGTTATGTAAGTGAACTTGTACCAATTCTGTGATGTTGTAAGGGCAAAATCTTTCCTGATTGGACTACTCTTTGTTCTGTATTGACCTGCTTACTTCCTTCAGTAAATGCTTTGTGCACCTGCTAAGTATCAGTCACTGTGCTCGACAGTGAAAGCCTGACAAGGCTGTTCTTTTTTGTAGCAATACTGTGTTTTCCCTCCCCCCTCTTGTCTTTTGCACCAAATTGGTGAAACAAAACACATCCTCAGGTGATAAGATTATTTTTATTGAGGCTGTGAACCACATTGTGACTCATGGAAGAAAGTCAGGAGGACAGAAGCTAAAGCCAAACGGCTTGGCTTCAAATCCTGGTCGTTCTACCTGCAGTGGCTGCCAGGTGCCCAGCCTTAACCTCATCATACCTCAGTTTGTTTCACTAGGATGAAGTACTACTTGCTTGGTAGAGTTACTGTAACGGTTAAATCAGGCAATTCCTTTAAGCCCATAGCAAGCACATCCCCTGGTAGGGAGGAACAGCTCCAAGGTTACCAACTGTTAGCTAAACCAGTCAGACATGAAATTTGTACTGCTTTTCTTTTTTTAAAAATGATCATATTATTGTTGTTCTGGGGGTACATTATGACCTGTACAAAAGTTCTTACAATATATCATAGTTGAATTCATCTCCCTGCCATCATTCTCCTTTACCCCACACCCCCATTCCTGGGATAATTTCAATAGGTCTCATTTTGTCATTTTCACACGTGAGTACATAATATTTCCAGTATATTCATCCTTTTCAAGTGAACTTTCTTTCGTGGGGGAGTTGGTGACCCAGTTACAGTTATATACTTTTGGGATGTGAAACTTGAAGATAAAGTTGTAATTATGTTCAAGAACAGAACAAAATGATCACCCTGTGTTGAAATTTGAACTTGAATATGTGACTGATATGTATACACATAAGTAAACATAAAAAAATATATATATACATACACATACACACACACACACACACACACATATATATATATATATGTAATATGTATATATAGCCAAATGGAGGACCCCATCCAGGCATCATGCAGCCATAACCCAGGGTGGCAGAGCCTAAAAGAGGTGATTGGTGAGCATGGAACTCATGGCCATCAAGGTTGTCCATTGTCTTTGTGAGATGCAGTTTATCCACTGAATTATTTCTAAAACTATTGGATATATTAATACAATCACTCTCAGGAGTGCATTTAGATTTGGAGAACAGCTGGGCTGATGTTTCCTCCTAAGTTTTTAAATGAATCTTGTGGTCCTCATACCTGGTTTCTAGAAAATTCAGAATGTTCTAGATGTAAAATCTGCAATCATAAAATGAAACTGAACCTCATTCTATTCTTTTTTTTTTTTTTTATTCATATGTGCATACAAGGCTTGGGTCATTTCTCCCCCCTGCCCCCACCCCCTCCCTTATCACCCACTCCCCCTCCCTCTCCCCCCCCCCCTCAATACCCAGCAGAAACTATTTTTCCCTTATTTCTAATTTTGTTGTAGAGAGAGTATAAGCAATAATAGGAAGGAACAAGGGTTTTTGCTGGTTGAGATAAGGATAGCTATACAGGGAGTTGACTCACATTAATTTCCTGTGCATGTGTGTTACCTTCTAGGTTAATTCTTTTTGATCTAACCTTTTCTCTAGTTCCTGGTCCCCTTTTCCTATTGGCCTCAGTTGCTTTAAGGTATCTGCTTTAGTTTCTCTGCGTTAAGGGCAACAAATGCTAGCTATTTTTTAGGTGTCTTACCTATCCTCACCCCTCCCTTGTGTGCTCTCGCTTTTATCATGTGCTCAAAGTCCAATCCCCTTGTTGTGTTTGCCCTTGATCTAATGTCCACATATGAGGGAGAACATACGATTTTTGGTCTTTTGGGCCAGGCTAACCTCACTCAGAATGATGTTCTCCAATTCCATCCATTTACCAGCGAATGATAACATTTCGTTCTTCTTCATGGCTGCATAAAATTCCATTGTGTATAGATACCACATTTTCTTAATCCATTCGTCAGTGGGGGCATCTTGGCTGTTTCCATAACTTGGCTATTGTGAATAGTGCGCAATAAACATGGTGTGCAGGTGCCTCTGGAGTAACCTGTGTCACAGTCTTTTGGGTATATCCCCAAGAGTGGTATTGCTGGATCAAATGGTAGATCAATGTCTAGCTTTTTAAGTAGCCTCCAAATTTTTTTCCAGAGTGGTTGTACTAGTTTACATTCCCACCAACAGTGTAAGAGGGTTCCTTTTTCCCCGCATCCTCGCCAACACCTGTTGTTGGTGGTGTTGCTGATGATGGCTATTCTAACAGGGGTGAGGTGGAATCTTAGTGTGGTTTTAATTTGCATTTCCTTTATTGCTAGAGATGGTGAGCATTTTTTCATGTGTTTTTTGGCCATTTGAATTTCTTCTTTTGAGAAAGTTCTGTTTAGTTCACTTGCCCATTTCTTTATTGGTTCATTAGTTTTGGGAGAATTTAGTTTTTTAAGTTCCCTATATATTCTGGTTATCAGTCCTTTGTCTGATGTATAGCTGGCAAATATTTTCTCCCACTCTGTGGGTGTTCTCTTCAGTTTAGAGACCATTTCTTTTGATGAACAGAAGCTTTTTAGTTTTATGAGGTCCCATTTATCTATGCTATCTCTTAGTTGCTGTGCTGCTGGGGTTTCGTTGAGAAAGTTCTTACCTATACCTACTAACTCCAGAGTATTTCCTACTCTTTCCTGTATCAACTTTAGAGTTTGTGGTCTGATATTAAGATCCTTGATCCATTTTGAGTTAATCTTGGTATAGGGTGATATACATGGATCTAGTTTCAGTTTTTTGCAGACTGCTAACCAGTTTTCCCAGCAGTTTTTGTTGAAGAGGCTGCTATTTCTCCATCGTATATTTTTAGCTCCTTTGTCAAAGACAAGTTGGTTATAGTTGTGTGGCTTCATATCTGGGTCCTCTATTCTGTTCCACTGGTCTTCATGTCTGTTTTTGTGCCAGTACCATGCTGTTTTTTGTTATTGCTTTGTAATATAGTTTGAAGTCAGGTATTGTGATACCTCCTGCATTGTTCTTTTGACTGAGTATTGCCTTGGCTATTCGTGGCCTCTTGTGTTTCCATATAAATTTTACGGTAGATTTTTCAATCTCTTTAATGAATGTCATTGGAATTTTGATGGGAATTGCATTAAACATGTAGATTACTTTTGGGAGTATAGACATTTTTACTATGTTGATTCTACCAATCCATGAGCATGGGAGATCTCTCCACTTTCTATAGTCTTCCTCAATCTCTTTCTTCAGAAGTTATAGTTTTCCTTGTAGAGGTCTTTCACATCTTTTGTTAGGTTTACACCTAGGTATTTGATTTTTTTTGAGGCTATTGTAAATGGAATTGTTTTCATACATTCTTTTTCAGTTTGCTCATTGTTAGTGTATAGAAATGCTAATGATTTTTCTATGTTGATTTTATATCCTGCTACCTTGCTATAGCTATTGATGATGTCTAGAAGCTTCTGAGTAGAGTTTTTTGGGTCTTTAAGGTATAGGATCATGTCGTCTGCAAATAGGGATATTTTGACAGTTTCTTTACCTATTTGTATTCCTTTTATTCCTTCTTCTTGCCTAATTGCTCTGGCTAGGAATTCCAGTACTATGTTGAATAGGAGTGGAGATAGTGGGCATCCTTGTCTCCTGATTTTAGAGGGAATGGTTTCAGTTTTTCTCCATTAAGTATAATGCTGGCTGTAGGTTTGTCATATATAGCTTTTATAATGTTGAGATACTTTCCTTCTATTCCTAGTTTTCTTAGAGCTTTTATCATGAAATGTGTTGGATCTTATCAAAGGCTTTTTCTGCATCTATTGAGATGATCAAGTGGTTTTTGTCTTTGCTTCTGTTAATGTGGTTTATTACGTTTATTGATTTTCATATGTTGAACCACCCCTGCATTCCTGGGATGAAGCCTACTTGGTCGTGGTGAATAATCTTTTTGATGTGTTGTTGAATTCGGTTTGCCATTATTTTGTTGAGGATTTTTGCATCAATGTTCATTAAGGAGATTGGCCTATAGTTCTCCTTTTTGGAGGTGTCTTTGCCTGGTTTTGGGATAATTGTAATACTGGCTTCATAAAATGTGTTTGGCAGTTTTCCTTCCCTTTCTATTTCATGGAACAGTTTAAGGAGGGTTGGTATCAGTTCTTTAAAGGTCTGATAGAATTCAGCAGAGAATCCATCAGGTCCTGGACTTTTCTTTTTGGGGAGACTCTTGATTGCTGCTTCAATTTCATTTTGTGTTATAGATCTATTCAGGTGATTAATAGCCTCTTGGTTCAGTTTTGGACGATCATATGTATCTAGAAATCTGTCTATTTCTTTAAGATTTTCAAATTTATTTGAATATAGGTTCTCAAAGTAGTCTCTGATGATTTCCTGGACTTCCATGGTGTTTGTTATCTTCCCTTTTGCATTCCTGATTCTACTAATTTGGGTTTTTTCTCTCCTCATTTTAGTCAGGTTTGCCAGTCTTTCGATCTTGTTTATTTTTTCAAAGAACCAACTTTTTGTTTCATTAGTTGCTTGTATGGTTTTTTTGGTTTCTATTTCATTGATTTCAGCTCTTATTTTTATTATTTCTCTCCTATTTTTGGGGGGATTTGCTTGTTCTTGTTTTTCTAGGAGTTTGAGATGTATCATTAGGTCATTGATTTGGGATCTTTCAGTCTTTTTAATATATGCACTCATGGCTATAAACTTTCCTCTCAGGACTGCCTTTGCTGTGTCCCATAGGTTCCGGTAGGTTGTGTTTTCATTTTCATTGACTTCCAGGAACTTTTAATTTCCTCTTTTATTTCATGATGACCATTGTTCATTAATAATGAGTTATTCAGTTTCCAGCTTTTGCATGTTTTTTGTCTTTACTTTTGTTGTTGAGTTCTACTTTTACTGCATTGTGATCAGATAGTATGCACAGTATAATTTCTATTTTCTTATATTTGCTGAGGCTTGCTTTGTGCCCTAGGATATGATCTATTTTGGAGAAGGTTCCATGGGCTGCTGAGAAGAATGTATATTGTGTAGAAGTTGGATGAAATGTTCTGTAGACATCAAGTAGGTCCATTTGATCTATTGTATATTTTAGATCTTGGATTTCTTTATGATTTTTTGTTTGGATGACCTATCTATTGATGATAGTGGGTGTTAAAGTCTCCCACAACCACTGTGTTGGTTAATATATGCTTTTAGGTCTTTCAGGGTATGTTTGATGAAATTGGGTGCATTGACATTGGGTGCATATAGGTTGATAATTATTTCCTTTTGGTCTATTTCCCCTTTTATTAGTATGGAATGTCCTTCTTTATCTCATTTGATCAATGTAGGTTTGAAGTCTACTTTGTCAGAGATAAGTATTGCTACTCCTGCCTGTTTTCGGGGCCATTGGCTTGGTAAATCTTCTTCCAGCCTTTCATCCTAAGCCTATGCTTATTTCTGTTGGTGAGATGGGTCTCCTGTAAGCAACAAATTGTTGGATCTTCCTTTTTAATCCATTTCGTCAAATGGTGCCTTTTGATGGGTGAATTAAGTCCGTTAACATTAAGTGTTAGTACTGATAGTATGTGGTGATTCCTGTCATTTAGTTGTCTTAGTTGTTTGAAGGTTTGATTGTGTGTACCTAAGTTGAGGTTACTCTCTACTTTCTTGCTTTTTTTTTTCCTGTAGTTTGGTGCTGCCTGTCCTTTCATGGTTATGTTGGGTTTCACTTTCTGTGTGCAGAATCCCTTGAAAATCTTTTGTAGTGGTGGCTTTGTGGTCACATATTGTTTTAGTTTCTGCTTATCATGGAAGACTTTTATTGCTCCATCTATTTTGAATGATAGTTTTGCTGGGTAGAGTATCCTGGGGTTGAAGTTATTTTCATTCAGTGCCCGGAAGATCTCTCCCCAAGCTCTTCTTGCTTTTAATGTTTCTGTTGAGAAGTCTGCTGTGATTTTGATGGGTTTACCTTTGTATGTTATTTGTTTTTTCTCTCTTACAGCCTTCAATATTCTTTCCCTAGTTTCTGAACTTGTTGTTTTAATGATGATATGTCGTGGGGTAGTTCTATTTTGATCTGGTCTGTTTGGCATTCTGGAGGCCTCTTGCATCTGTATGGGAATAGCTTTCTCTAGATTTGGGAAATTTTCTGTTATTATTTTGTTGAATATATTACGCATTCCCTTTGCTTGCACCTCTTCTCCTTCTTCAATGCCCATGATTCTCAGGTTTGGTCTTTTGATGGAGTTGGTGAGTTCTTGCATTTTCTTTTCACAGGTCTTGAGTTGTTTAACTAATAGTTCTTTGGTTTTTCCTTTAATTACCATTTCATCTTTGAGTTCTGAGATTCTGTCTTCTGTTCATTTTATTCTGCTGGATTGGCCTTCCGTTTTGCTTTGCAGTTCTGTTTCGTTTTTTTTTCTGAGGTTTTCCATATCCTGGGTGGTTTCCTCTTTAATGTTGTCTGTTTTCATCCTGAGTTCATTTATCTCTTTATTAATTGTGTTCTTTGTTTCATTTGGTGTTTATACAGTGCTTCTATGGTTTCCTTTATTTCTTCTTATTTTTTTTTTGTTTTTTTTGATTTCTTGGTTGTCCTCTCTATAAAATCCATGATTACCTGTAGTATTTCTTCTTTTGGATTATTCTTGTGGGCTTCATTGGGTTCTTTGGCATAGTTTATCTTCATTTTGTTGGAGTCTGGGTCTGAATATCTGTTTTCTTCATTTCCCTCTGGTTTCTGTACTAATTTTTTGCTCTGGGGAAACTGGTTTCCCTGTTTTTTCTGTCTTCCCGTCATTGCCCTTGGTGGTGTTATTGTCCTTGTACTGTGTGCAATTAAGTATTTTCTGGCTTGTAATAATAGCACTAGTGATATTTAGAATGGAAGGGTGAGAGGGGATGGAAAGCAAAGAAGTTAAAGGAAAAGGGAAAAATAAACAAACAAGTAGAGAAAAACAAAACAAAGAAACAAAAAAATTTCAAAGATATAAACAGGAAGAGACAGTGTACTAATGAACTGTAAGCTGAGAAGGCATTAGAGAGACAGGATTGAAATAAAAAATAAAATAAAAATAAAAAATAAATGAAAAAATATATATAAAAAAAAAATCTGGTGCAAATGCAATAAAGTTTCAGTCTTAATAATTTTGGTGTTTTTCCCTCAGCCTCCAATCCTGGAGATGGTGCCTCAGATGTTGTTCTGTAGTTGTCTCATCAAAGGGGAAAAATAAAATAAAACAAAACTGCACAAAACAAAAAAAAAACCCACAAAATGTCCCAAGTTCAAATGCAATAGAGTTTCAGTAAGTTTTTCAGCATGTAGGTGTAGTTTGGTTGTTTTCTCATCAAAGGTAGGGAAAGAGAAAAAAAAGAGTCTGGAGACAGTTCTGTGAATGGTATCTGTGGCTGTGGCTTGCCTGCTGGCTGCTGTTAGCCTGCTGTTGCTGGAGGCATTATTTATGCAGATCTCAGGGGTGAGCTTAACAGTCACCTGGCCCCTCAGGCTTTGTTTACTCAGAGTTCTCCTATGTGTGAGCCACTGCTACAAGTTTTCCCCTTTCCAAGCACACTGGGGGAGGTAACACTGCACCCGCTTTCTCAGGCCTCCGTGTTTATTTACAGCTCACGTGGTAAGTGGGCCTTCCTCCTTCTCCTGTGGAGTTTTCCTCCCACCCCTGCTTTTACAAGCTTTCCCGCTTCTGGTTGCTGGGCATGTGCTGCCACTCCTGCCTTCTCTGGCCGGCTTGTTTATTTACAGTTACGTGAAGGTTTGCCCCTCCACCCCTCTTTGGCACTCAGGGCGCCCCACCCTCTTTGCTACATGTCTTTTTTGTTGCTATTGCTTATTAATCAGTTTTTTTTCTTTTTTCCCTGGGTGGGGGTCGGTCTGTCCAGGGGGCTATGCTGATCTGGCCCAAGGTTGTCTGTGGGAGTACTGTGTGCCGCTTAGCTCACCTTGTGGTCTGAGTCTTCCCAAGCCATCTGGGTGCTGGCATCTGGTGGCACGGGAGCCCTCCTGGTTTCTCCATTTAATGTGGAGAGGGGATGCTATTCGTGGGCTGGGGGTGTGCAGGCGTCAAAGTTTTGCCTCTTCTTGGTGGTTTTTCCTGTAAGGTGTATCTCCAGCATCTCTCTAAGTTTTACTTTAGGAAGCATGCTTTCTGCTTCCTCCCTCTAGCCGCCATCTTGGGATCTCACCTCTTTTTCACATTTTTACATTTACTTATGTGTATACATTATTTGGGACACCTCTCCCTCCCCTATCCCCACCCCCAGCTTCCAGGTAGAACCTGTGTAAGTTTATTCTTTAAAATGGGAAATTTTGCCAGGTGTGGTGGTGCATGCCTATAATCCTAGCACTGGAGCCTGAAGCAGGAAGATGGTGAGAGTTCAAGGCCACCTGAGCTACATAGTAAGATCCTGTTAAAAAATCAATGGCTGGTCATTTACCCAGAGACAGAGCACTTGCTTAGCCTGTATAAGGCCTGGGATCACACACACACACACACACACACACACACACACAAATGTTTTCAGACATTAAGAAAAAAGATCAACATCACACTTATGTTAGCATTTAGTTGAAATTCTAAAATGAATGTATGATATGGCAAATTCTAGGGGATTTATAATGTGACAGCTTAATCCTATTGCATCTCTAAGTTAAATTGATTGCTTTTAAAGATCAGATCAAACAGCTCAGGGAGAGACACAGGACTGACTGTCTCATTTCCATCAGGTACCATGCTATGTAAGTGGACACCCCTCCCCACACACAGGCTGGTGAGATGACTGATTATAAAACTCAGAATTGCAGCATGAGGTGAATGCTCAGTCATTATCAAGCTAAATTCACTTTGTGAAAGGGGAAATGAACCTTAAAATGTGGAGTAGCTCTAACTTTTAAAAATATACACAGATCATTAAAATGTAAATTTAAAGATTTTTCTCATAAAAAAGGTATTATGGACATTGTGGAAATTCTGATGCTGTGCTTGAAATAATTTCAAGAATATATGTTTTTGGTTTAAAATTCAATGCAGACTTATAAAGCTTGACCTCTTAATGACAGTAAAATGTAATTTATCTAAATGTTTCAGGAAAGACTTTGGAAGGACGATCTTGACTGTGGGTGGTAAGACTCATTTAGAGTTTTAAATACTTAAAATATTATGTTGGGTATCAGGTTTTATGAGGATCTTGGGGAATGAATTATCAAACTGAAGATAGGAACTAAGATTTCATTTTAAATTTATTTTGAGATTTTTTTAGTGTGCTGAAAGCCATAAACAGTAATCAGTAGGTACTCATTACTTGCCAACCAGTTCTGTCAAATTATAATATTTTGCCACATTTGCAAAAGAATAAACTTTAAAAGGATAAAATTTCTTAAGTCACAAGGTCCCGTGTCCATGTCCTCAATTCTGTTTCCCTCTCTTTGACTCACATTTGGTTTTTCATTCCTAAATCTTTTTCTCTCTGTATTCATAAGTAACATGCATAATTGTTTTGTACATTTCAAAACCATTGCATATGTAGCATTCTACTGGACATATTTACCGACCCCTTTTTACCCTTAAAATTATTCATGAATTGAACATCTTAAGATGTCATTGTGGTCTATTTGCTGTGAAATGTCACAATTTATCTTGAGATTTTATTTTTGTGGTAGAAATATTTTAAGGCTGTTTTATTTGATTAATATACTAAAATGTTAAAAACCAGAAATACATATTTTGAAAAGTTTGTATGCTGGCCTGTTTCCCCTAATTAAAAAGAAATAATTAAATATAATGGATATTTAATTTTAAATATAATGAAATTGTTGTAACAACTCCAGGCACACTGTTGTAAGACACAATCCTAGTCTTAAAAACTGAATTTCTTAGAGAAGGTGCTAACTTCAGGACTCAGACTTCTCTGTTGCTTGTCTATGTCTGCCATATTTTTAATCTCCAGATTATGACCAGCAGGTTGCTCTTTCTGAGGCTTTGTGTAGAATGACGACCAGAATGTCAAGGGATGATCTTGTCTATCAGTGGTTTGACGATGAGATCCTTGCTGATGCTTTCAAAGAAATTAAGGGCCGTGAATTTGAGACGGTGAGATGCCTGGTCACAAATATTTCTGTTTGGTCAATATTTGCTCAGCACCCTCTCAGTGCTTTCTCTGGGTATGATTAGGGGAGATTTCATTTTTTTAAATGTGATTTTTAGTAATACTAACGTTTGAACTTGGGACCTTGTGCTTGCCAGGCAAGCACTCTACCACTTGAACCATGCCCCCAACCCTTTCTGCTGTAGTTATTTTTCCAATAGGGTCTCACATATTATGCCTGGCTGGCCTGGACCACAGTCCTCTTACCTATACCTCCCTTGTATCTGGGATGACAGATGGGTACCACTATACCCAGCTTTTATTGGTTGAGATGCAGTTGCCTGAACTTTTTGCAAAGACTGGCCTTGAACTGTGATCCTCCTGATCTCTACCTTCTGAGTAGCTGGGATTACAGGTGTGAGCCAGTATGCCAAGCTTAAATTGTCATTCTTAAACTGCCTGTTTCCCATGTCTGTGAAACAATTTGAAGGCAACATGAATAGACTATTTGGGGGCCAAGAAGGAGAATACAGATAGGACTTCCTTAGAGGTAAGTGAGGCTGGAGAACTGTGTGAACTTAGTGAATCCAGTCAAAGACGGTGTATGGGAGGGGTAGTAATTTTCAGTGACCCTTGAAGAGTAGGGAGAACACTGGAGAAGAAAAGAAGCATTAGAGCCTTGCAGAGATTAGCTGTGGCCATGGCAGGTGGCTGATATTGGCATGGCATGCTCTAGTGATTCTAGTCACTAGTGATGAAGAATATTATGGGGTGGTGTGTTGTGACCCATCCAATGTCTACAATTTGGAGAAATGGTGATTTTTCAGTATATGTCCTGCCTTCTATGCTTACCCTAATTGTGTCCTCAAGTGGCACAAAAATAGCTTCTGGCTTTGTTGGGTAGCTACCTCCCTCCTAAAATAGCTAATGCATTTTCCCCCCTTTCTTTTGAAAAGTTCTTTAACTAACGGTTAGACTCTCAGGAAAAGGTAAGATTTATAATAACAGTGTTCGTGTTAATAAAACCTTTATCATCAAAACTATGTAATCAGGATTATTACATGATTCAGACTTTGCGAACTCTGAATCTTTACATGATTTATCTCAGACTCTGAGCTACTGTGGTACACACAGCAAGAGTTTTTACCTGGATTCAGTATAGTCTGAATGGGAAGATCATGAATGTTGGGGCTTTCTCTAACTTGGGTTTGAGCTCTGCCTCCCCAACTTATGTATTCCTTTGGGCAAGGTAGCCTGAGTGTTTCATTGCCAAGATGGGAATAAACCCCACCTCGAAGTTATGAGAATTCACTATGAGAAACAGAGAGTGCCTGGGATGCTGTGGTGCTCAGATGCTAGTTTCCTTTCTTCTCAGTGTCACTTCCTCCTCTGAGGAAACTTGATGAAAATGAGAGACACTAATTATCTGGTTTTCAAAGTCATTTCTCCCCAAAGCCATCAGCTTCTTAGTAGAATTGCTTTTAGATTAAGGATTTAAATACCGTTGTCTGTTTAACTGAACATAGAGTGCGAGAAGCATTTGGCCATAGGAGCTTATCCTCCCAGACACAAAAAATGGGACCAGTGTCTCTTTACCTTTAGGATGATAGGGTGACAAATCATTATCCTGAAGGCTGTTGGTTAGGAGAACTGTGAATATAGTTTTTGTTCTTAGAACATGTGCCAGGAGAGAGAACCCACGAAGGAGGGTATGGACAACTTCCAAAAAGGAAAATCAGCTGTGAAAAATACACCCAAATAAACCCCACAGTTGATGCGTTTTTTTTTCCTAGGCAGGTGTTTGGGAGTGTCAGGAGTGATTCCTTCCAGAGACATGTGCCTGGAGCCTTCTTTTTGTTACACAAAGTTATATTTTCATCTCCTCTTTATTTTATTTTTTCAGGCAGGGTCTTGCTAGATAGGCCAGGCTGGTCTCTTAACTCTCAATCCTACCTCAGCCTCCCAAGTGCTAGAATTATACCCAGCTCACAAAGTATTGTGTATGTAAGTAATGAATCCTTGGGAAGTCTTGCTATGTTTTGGGATTCTGGACATTTAGAAGGAAACACTAGCTTCTACATGCTAGTGAGAGTAGTATTAAATAATATAAATTTTTTTTAGTAAAAAGTTTGCATTGTTTACTTTGAAGGATATTCGACAGTTTCTCAATCACCTAAACAACAGACTTGGTGACCAAAGAAGGTAAGGTGTTTCTCTCCTTATTTTTATTGGCTAGTTATGTCCGTTTTTTGAAAACGTCTAAGATTTTTAAATAATGTCCAGCATCTGTTTCATATAGGATCCATCTTCCACCGAGTACAACTAAGTGACTTTTTGATTAGAAACCTAGGAAGATCAGATCCTTTCTGCCTTGTGGCTTGATCAGTTGTTTAAAGATGATCTCTGTAGCTTATTTATTTTCTTGGGAAAAATTTAAATACTATATCCTTTAGAGAATCCAGAGCTTTTGTTTTTGTTTTGTGGTACTGGGATTTGAATTCAGGGCCTCACACTTGCTAGGAAGGCACTCTTACCTCTTGAGCCACTCCACCAGACCAAGAATCCATAGTTTTTAAGAAGAGAATTTTTATACAGGTTTGAACTGACTGGGGCTGGACATACGATGGTCAGTTAAGTCCTTGGTAAGACAATATTTGCTAAATGCATTCCTTTCTGTAGGAATCTTGCCAAGTAATTTGGTTGAGAAGCAGGACTAGTAAACCTGGTATATAGACTACCAGTTGGAGATTTGAAATCTTCTCATAGTAGCTCTCCATTTGCAGGGTGGAAGCCCCCTGCCATACTCTGAACAAGGAGACTTACTTGCATACCATAGCTATAAATGCTTACTACAGAATGTCTATAAGTTGCATTGGGGGGTCCATTCCTATTTTATTAATTGTGAGGTGTTTTGCAGGGTCTACTCATTTCCATGTATTGCTGCTTTTGCTGATGGGCATGAGGTATGTTTGTCTCTTGGGGATCATGAAGGTGGTATGTAATGAAACCCAGTTAGGTCTACATAGTCAGACTTCTGTTTTCCTTACTCAAGGAGCTTTTTAAAAAAAGGATGTGAACTTCTCCTAGTGACTTCCCCTTTCAAACAGGTCACAGCATAACCAGAATGCATTACCAGTAAATGTTAAGGTTCTACTGTTTCTACTGGGAAAAAGGAACATTACGATCTGTTCTGTACAGGAGGTCCATTACAGGAACTTTGCCTCATTTTACCTATTCATTGGTAACATGAATATGCATAGTTGGATAGGAGGGAAAAGGGCAACTTCCTTCCTTCTTTCCTTCCAGTTAAGCTCCTTTCTTTCCCCAGGAACTGGGACCAATCTTCTGTCTCTACTCCTTGTGTTTTATAGGGCAAGGTATAGCAGTACAAGCTGCCCTTATAAAGTCTCTTTAGTACAATACTTTTAGTAATACAAGTGTATGCATTCTATCTTGTACTCTATACTCCAAAGTTGATCAGTTTCTTTTCACTCCCTTCTTCTGTTTTTAGAGGAACAAGGCTCTTCATGTAAAATTGCTCCAACCTACAGCATCACAGTTTAAGAGGCTTCAGAGGTTTCAGAATCATGGCTCAGCTGAGGTTTCTTGGACCCGGTTTTCAGTATTTCCTTATTAGCCATTTCTTTGTTTCCAGAGCCGCCTCTGGAGTTGAGCTTTGAACTTATACTACATACAAGTTCCTTCTCTCTAGAGCTGATTTTGGCAGACTCATGCTTATATATCAATTCCACCTATATTTCCTCTGGTTGTCTGAAGAGTCTACTCTGCATTTAGTTTTTCTTTCTTGGGCTCCCAAATTTCCATCAGCTTCTATCAGGGCCCTTATGCTTACCCTTCACACTGGCTTCTAGTGGTATAGGTTGTGGGTAAATCCTTCATTCAACTCTGTAGCTACTAAAGTAGATGAAAAAGAAAGGCATCTAAGCAATGCTCGTCATTGGAAAAGCAGGTTATAAGTGTTATGTTTGCTCCATCCTTAGGGAATAAAAACTGTATATATGGGTTGGACATGCTACCCATATATACCCATATATATATTTTGGAGCAAAACATGCTCCAAAATTCAAAACTTTCTGAGTGCTGACATGATGCTATGAGTAGAAGACACCTCACCTGACCTCACATAAAACACAGTCAAAACACATGTGCACTTAAAATATTATATGAGTTGGACGTGGTTCAAGTGGTAAAGTGCTTGCTTAGCAAGCATGAAGCTCTGAGTTCAAACCCAAGTACCACCTAAAAAAATAAATAAAAGGTTAAAATATTATATAAAATGACCTTATGCTATGTGTATAAAGTATACCTGAAGTATAAATAAATTTTGTGTTTAGACTTGGGTCTCATCCCCAAAATAATGCATTATGAATATGCAGACATTCCAAAAATCTAAAAAATTAGAAATCTGACACACTACTGGTCCTAAGAATTTGGACAAGGGATGCTCAGCCTGTACTTCCGATATTTGTCTAGAAAACCTCTGGGGAGAAGCAATGGCATTGTTAGCGGAGTACATGGAAAGGTACCTGTGGGAAGTTGGGCAAAGGAGACGGTAATTGTTTCAATAAACACTACACCGTTTGAATCTGCTTGTTCTATGTTTTTGCTAAAAGCTGTATTTTGTAATCTATTAACATGAAAGTAACTTAAGTGCTTCAAAACTTAGCTATTCTAATCATTTATATTTTATCACAGTATCTCATATCTCCATTTATATGCGGTGTGGATTATTACTGCTTCAACATAAAACGGTTTTCTCCACGATTCTCATCCGAAAACAAATTGTGCAGATAGTCATCTGACATATTTAAATGTCTATTAAATATGCTAAAGATAGTGTGATATTATTGGAAATGGCTTGGTCGTATAAAATTGAGATCTTCCCTGTTTTGAATAAATGAATCAGGCAATAAAATGAGGTCCTATATTAAGAGTGCTGTTGCAGGAAAAGCATAAGTTCTGTTTTTAAAGAATTATTTTAATTTGACTCTTTGATGTGATTTTTCTGTGTATAACTGATGCTAGAATTCCCTTACAGATGAAAAAACCAGCAGATGAAAAGTTAGAGGAATTTTGGATTGATTTCAACCTGGGAAGTCAGAGTGTAACTTTTTATATTGACAATGCTGAGGTAATGGTTTAACTCCTGAGTGGATCCTAAGCACTTAGAAATTGTTTATATGTAAATATGTATTATGTGTTCATGACTTTCACCCATTTTCTTTCCCAAGAGTGTTCTGTGGGACCCAATAAGAGTTTTGAAGGAAGCCGTGGTTAATTTCAGCATAAGAGGTAAGACGATAATTTTAAACTACCCATGTGTAGCTCTCAGTGTTGTTCCTGTTTATATTTGCAGTATGTGTTTATTTAATTCTAGGGCAGATTTTCATCTTGTCCTGAGATAGGAGGAAGGCCAAGTAGTGCAGTGGAAGGTATAGTGTGCTCAGAACCAAGGTCCAGAGGTCACAGTGTTGATGGCTCCTTTGCTTTGTGACTTTAGCGTTCAATTACTTGCCTAGTTCTCTCATTGTAAACAAGGTTGTTTTCTCAAAAGAAAGATGAAAAACAGAACTTCCACATGATCTAGCAATGCCACGTCTAGATATATGTGTAAAAGAATTGAAGAAAAGGTGTCTGAGATGTGACTGTACATCTGTGTTCATAGCTGCCTTGTTCCTAGTAGATGAAAGGCGGGAATAACCCATGTGTCCATTGAGGAATGGATGCATAAATAATCTATGCTGTGTAATGCAATGGGTATTATTCAGGTTTAAAAAAGGGAAGGCATTCTGACACATGCTATAATAAGCATCCTAAGAGCACTGTTTTAAGTCACATAAGCCAGACTCACCAAGACAAATACTGTAGAATCCACCTGAGGTATCCGATGTAATCAAATTCATAGAAGGTGGAATGGCAGTTGTCAGGGGCTGGAAAGGGCGAAATGGGAACTGTGTTGTACACAGTTTCAGTTTTGCAAGATGAAAAAATTCAAGCTTTATTGTGTAACACTGAATATACTTAACCCTACTGCACAGTGAACTTAAAAGTATTAGTATATATCAGGTGAGAAACTAATTTCAAAACCAATAAAATGATTATGATGGTAAATTTTATTTTATGGAGGTTTTTTTTTTGGCCACAATTTAAAAAATGGTGCTAGTACCTGTCCTTCCTCTCCTGTGGAACTGCAGTAGTGACCGATGAGTTTATGTGGATGTGTAACTCCTCTATTTAAATTTCAGCCATCGAACCCCTCAAACCTTCACCACTCAACCTCTCTTCTCAGCTTGTTAGGTTAGTTTAGCATTTTAGTTCTGATCACACTTGATCGGGTTTCCTGAATTAGGTCTTTCAAAAATGAAAGGATGTTTGTGAGTTTTACTCATATACATACATTTTTAAGTAACTGGGTTTCCTAAAAGTTAAAACTAAAGGTTTAATAATTGTGTGGCTACCATATATCTTTCCACAAAGGATTTAAGACAGCTTGCACATTTATAGCAAAATAACGGAGATGGAAAGTCAGAATCACAGAGCAGAATAAAAATGTCTACCTTGAAGGCTAATCTAAAGAGATCACCATGGAAATTGACATTTGATTCTCAATTCCCTGAAAGACAGGTAAAGGTGAAACATTACTTGTACTACGACTCTCAACATAGACGTCTTAGGAAGAAGGAATCCTTGGTAGCCTTGAACTCTAACTAAAGGAACTCTCATGGGGCTGTTTTAAGGATAATCCTTTAGTCCTGAGTTCCCCTTACTAAGATTTTTTTTTATATGTACATATAACTTATCTTCAGTGCTCTGTTAAAAGACTTAAGAAGATGAAATCATAACAAATATAGAATGAACAGGTGTGGAAGATGTTTAAAAATTCATTAATTAAGCAGGGCACTGTGGCTCACACCTGTAATATCAGTTACTTGGGAGGCAGAGATTGGGAGGATTGCAGTTTGAGATCAGCCCAGGCAAAAAAGTTCACAAGACCCCATTTCAACCAATAGCTTGGTGTGGTAGCACATGCTTATCATCCCAGCCATATGGGAAACATACATAGAATTGAGGTCCAGGCTTGCGTGGGCATAAACACAAGACCCTATGCAAAAAATAACTAAAGCAAAATTGTCCGCGACCTGCATGGGTATGCTGCGTGAACCTGACTAAGAGCAGTGGGGAATGAGAAATAAGACACACACATAAAACAGAAAAGCTGGGGACAGGAAGGCTGCACGTTCCTGATGGGAAATGTGAGCGCCTACCTGAGCCAGAGTGTTTATTTTATAGGTCAGTACCAGGAAAAGACTCAGGTAAAAATCAAGCTTTAACAATTCTTGATGCAAGGTGAAAGGAATGAGGTTTGGTGGGCTAATTTTCCTAAGGCTAATGAAGCTTAATTACAGCACATCAGTTCTGGGACCATCAAGGCACACAGGACACCTTATCTAAGGTACTGATTAATCTGGCATCAGCGAGTCTCCTAACAGTTCTGGTACTTTATCTAGTTTTGCATCAGGGGGCTGGTATGCGGACACAGCAGGTTGTATTCAAGGAGATGTGAGAACAAAGGTCAAGACATTAGGGAAAAATATGGTAGGAGAGGCTGTGCAAACTCCATTTTTCCCCAGCCCAGGGTTCATGCCTTGTCTCCAATACAAAATAACCTAAGCAAAGTGGCAGAATTGGTAGAGCACCTGCCTAACAAGTGCAAGGCCTTGAGTTCAACCTCCAGTACACTGCCAAAAAAGAAAAATTCACTGATTAGGAAATCAGTAAACTGTATCAACCAGTTCAAGGGAGAATTCAAAGACCCACACGTATATAAACAATGCTGAAATGAACATACAAATAGATGCAAAACTAGACAATTGCATACTCCAGATGTGCTTCATTTGTGTATTTGTGGATTAAATTACTTGCATTATCAGTTTTCTTCAATTTATAGAGTTGTAAAATAGCTGAAAGTCAATGAAAGGCAAAGATAACCCAGAAGAGTGTGGTAAAACAGGCACCTGATAACTGGTACACTTCCAAATCTTTGTTTTCTCCTCTTCAGCGCTTTCCTGTGCCCATGAAAATTTGTCCCAAGAATTTGGTTTCTTTTGTTGGCATTAGGGTTAGAAAAGAGAGACTTTGCTACAGCAAACAGTGAGGAAACAGATGAGGAAATCAAGTGGTAGAAGACAGGGAGAGACTTCCATAGCGAAGGTCTGGGAGAACAGAGGAAGGATGAAGGACAGGGAGCCTACGTTCGGGAGTTCTCTCAGGTGCTTGGGAGCTGAGATGGGAACAGGTGGAGGCCAGCAGTGATGTAGTCAATGGAGGTCTACACTGAGTTGAGGTGCCTCCCATCTGGAGTAAAGGAAATGGATTTGCAAGCATTTCACTAGAAATGTAAATTAAATGTAATCTTAACTATATATGAGGCATAACCTAATTTATGTAGAAATTACCTGTCAATATTGATACATAAAATGTCATTGATAAGTACAAGTATTATGTAAGGACTTTTTTGGGCTTTCTGAGCCCTACATTGCTTTTCTTTAACTTCCTCAACCCTTAAACTGTGCTACTGGGGTGTTTTTCAGAAATCAACTTGGCAAAGTTAATACTCAAGTCTTCATTTAGTATGTCACATTTCTGTGACAGTTTATAATTCACAAAGTACCTCACCATATTTAGAGGAACTAGGTTGTACTGTTTCCATTTTATAGCACAGGAAAATAAAAATTATCTTGGAAGCTCTGCAGGCAGCATGTGTTAGAAGCTTGGTACAGCTCTCGGGACATTTCTACTGACCCTTGTATGTTTGCTTTGATCCCACAGCCCAACTAGCTGCTATATTTTTCAGGTACAAGGTTAGGTTAGAACTACCTTTGTGGCAGGGTTTGATAGGCTTTCTCTGCAGCCGGGAGTGGATGTCTAGTGAGGTCAATATTTTGGGGTGATCACTGAGCTTTATAAGCTCCAAAGCTAATCCTGTCCTGTAGAAATAAAATGTGAGCCACATATGTGCATTTGAAGATTTCTGCGAGTCACATTAAAGAGGGCACATTTCAGTAATATTTTATTTAACCTAATTTACCCAAAACATTACTATGTAATTAATATAAAAGTCATTAAGATATTGTGGGTCTCCTTGGGTATGCAACGTCTTCACAATGGCTTGCAGAGTACCTGTAGACCTGTGTGTGGCTCATCCTTTCCTCTTTCCTTTCTCATGAACATGTGGCTATTAGCTCTGCCTGCCTTTTTGTGGACTTCGTTTTCTCTCCTGCTGATTCTTCCAGTAGTTGGTATTTACCATGCCTCATTCTTGGACTCTGTGAATTTTGATCCAAGTTAATTTCTCTTTTGAAACTGATTACTATTTGTCCATGATATCCTGGAGGAGACCCTATGGAGGTGATTGTCTGAGACACAGACTTCTTGCCATGATATTTCAGTTTTCTTTCTTTAATAGGAATCTATTGAAATGGAGGTGAATTATTACATTTTGCATTATGGGAACAGTGAAATTTATTTTGAATTTGGAAATATGTAAAATTTTATAGAGAGGGGGAAGGGAGAGAGAGATGGAGAGAATAAATACTGTACTCAACAAATTTGAAAGTAAAATACTTGTATTAAACAAAATGCTCTTATGAAACCACTGAATTGTATAATACAAGCTATCCCCATTTCTTTCTTGGTAAAGTAAGCTATTTCCTATTTTTGGGTGATCAACCACTTAGTCATGCATTGTATGCACATGTGAATAAAAATTTCAAAGTAATTTTATTTAATATTTTCTTTTCAATTTATTGATGAAAAGTCTGGATCCTTGACCAATATCCCATTGCAGTTACTTAAAAATCATAAAAATTTAAAATATTTCATTATGCAGATCTGATTTGCATACCATATTTTTTGTTAGAAACTGAGAGGATGCAGATATTCATCATTTACCTGAAGAAGCCAATTATTATCAGCAAGAAAGAAGTGATGAAAATAGAAATTCATTTTGATCTGCAATTCAACATAACACAGGCTTCCGTTCAAGCTTTAGGAGAAGACAAACAGGTGTTTTGTTTTTTGATTATTTCAAGATGTAGTATGTTTCATGTCTCTTGAATTCCTTGCTGGTTTTTTGGTTAAGCAAAAGACCTGATGTTTAGAATACCATGTAAACAGAGTTGAGAGTTCTGGGTTCTAATTCCAATGCTTTTTTTCAGGTGTCACTGTCTTAACTATGCGGGACACAAAGCTTCTGCCACTTGAGATGCTTTTTTCCATTTGTTGTGAACAGTTTCAGACTGTTTTAGGGTATTGCTTCCTCACTTTCTGGGGTCCTAAGGGTGATACCGTCTGGGTTTCTTGACACTTTCTACTCTCCAGGCTCCTCCTGGTCCCAGAGTAGAGTCCTTAGGAATGAAACTTTGAGGGCTGAGGACGTAGAGCACTTCCCTAGCAAGCTCAAGGCCCTGGCTTGGATCCCTGGCACTGGTGCAGGATGTGGGGGAGGAGGAATAAAGCTGCTTAGGGAGCTTTTCCAAAGTTCTCTCTACAGATTTTACTTGTAGAAATGGTCTATAACTCTTCTAGATTCCTGTGGTCTCTGCCGCTCTGATTCTTATGCTTCCTGTGTATATGCAACAACAAGAGCTTTCGTCTGTTAGAGTAGGAAAGACAAAGAATGTTTTGATAAGACGTAAACTACTACTGTAACGGACAGTAGCCAGTAGGGTACTGAATTAAGAGGTCAGAGACCCAAGGGAGGAAGTCTTGGGCTAGTCTTCTTTCAGTTTGAGTTGTATATGAAGGCATTTTATATGTAATTAAATACTCTTCAAATATAATTTCCAAAGATTCATCCTATGAAAAGATACTTTCATGGATGAGGGTGAGTAATACTAAAGGAAAAGCTAATCACTTGATAAGAAAGACCTCCTCATATTATGTGACGAGTTGGCCTGAAATGTTTGTCTTAACATATGAAAACAATCAAAATCACATGTCAAATTTCAAAAAATGAATCAAGTGGTTTTGGAGGGAGGATTGAGGTGTGCATGGGATGAAGCCACAGTTCCTGAGTATGGAGCCCCTGTGAGGAAGGGGTGAGACAGGAAGATCTTACAGTTGGGAACTCAGTGCAGACTCATCCAGGAAGAGAGCCTCAATCCTTGAGTGAAGTGGGGATCAGAAATTACCAAGGGGCTTAGATGTGGATCAGAGAAAGGACAGGATGTTGTCTAGTCTGTTTTCTGTTGCTATAATCGAATGTACAGACTGAGTAATCGATAAATGAAAGAAGTCTATATGGCTCATGGTTCTGAGGGTTGGGAGGTCCAAGAGGCTGGTACTGATGTCTGCTCAGCCTCTGGCTCAGGTCTTCTTGCTGCATCACAAGGCAAGACAAAGCAAGAGTGGTAGAGAGAGCTCACTTTTATAACAAAGTCTTTCTTGCAATAATCCATTAATCCATTAGTCATGACTAGATAGACCCATTCATGAGGGCAGAGCTTTCATGGTCCCCTCTCCCAAAGGTCCATCTTCCACCACCACTGCATGGGGGACCAAGATTCTGACACATGTAATTTGGGGAGCACATTCAAACCATAGAAGATGTGAAGATACCAGGAGAGAGTGATTAAGCTGGTAAAATAAGCTCTGGTCCTGAAAGGAAGGAAGGAAGGAAGACATTAAGAGCTGGAAACCGTAAACAGTCTTTGAAGAGAAGACAAACTGAAGGCTAACTTCTTCTCACTTATCAATGTGGTGTTCTAAGCTTTAAATTTTCCTTAAAATGTTATTTTAAAAGCTTCTGCTTTTAAAAGTTGTGTGACATTTATTTCAGATGTTGCCTGAAGAGATGGAGATCTCAGAACTTTTTAGAAAGTTCGAGAAACAAGACAGTGAGAGTCCTAGTAGCCATGAAAGAGAGACAGGTATATTTGATATTGAGAAATAACAAAATTATGACTGACTTCCCTATAAAAGCATGATGAGACCTTACTTGAAGAGGTCTCTAGTCATATACTACAAGTATGTGAAAGAGTAGCTGCTGACAGCCTTGACTCATTTTCCCCATCTGATAAAGTGCTTCTTATGGGCCAGTTGGAAATGTCAGGGGAACAAATGCTGGGGATGGCAGAGACAGGATATGGACTCAGGAGGGTCCTGTCTACACAGAAAGCTGGTTCTCATGAGTTTCTTCTCAAGAGTCCCTCGATTTCTGATTTGAGATTTGAGGCAAACCTGACTGTCAGTTCTTACCAAAAATTGGTGATGTTCCAGAGGTATGGGGCCCCGGAAAAGTAATGGACAGTGTTCTAGTGTAGTACACAGGTTTTTTATTTTAACTGTTATTTTCTTAATATGTTTAGAACAGGTAGAAGAATCTGTTAACCTGGCAGAGGTCACCGGTGCTGGAGATGACAGTTGCCTAATAACTCTCAGTTAAATGACCCTCCTGAGCTTCCTGTGAGTATAGGGAGCTGGGAAGAAGGCTGTGGTCTGTGTCCTGTAGGATGCTGACAAGCAGATGCTGTCTCTCCTCACTTGTAGACCAGTTTTCTCCTGGTCGATATGTTGACCATCTCCTCCTCTAGATTATTTTTATTGGCTGAGTTTGTATCTTTATTTAGTTGGCTCTCCTATGGAATGCATGCTTGGCTGGCCTTTGCCTCCTCACTCATTTGGGATCTGAAGATGAATGTAGGGAAAGGAAACCTAGTGTTTTGAGGCAGACATGATTTTCACTTACTAACTATAGGAACTTAGGCACATTAATTAATTTTGTTGTTCTCGGACTTCACATCCATCAGGTGGAGGTAATAGCTAGTTCAAAAGTGTGGCTTTCCTAGGATTTAAAAATGAGTACTAAGTTATCGTGTGCTGTTTCACCGTAGGGTTACTACAGATAATGATACTGTACATCTCAAAAAGCCTGGAAGGGATTTTGAATGTTTTCATCATAAAGAAATGATAACTATCGGGAGAGATGTGTTTAGCCTGATTTAAACATTTCACATGTATGCATACATAAAAAATCACATGTATGCATACATAAAAAATCACATGGTTCACCACTAACATGCACCATTTTTATGTTTTTATGTATCAGCTAAAAAAATATTTCAAGCTGGGTGTGGTGGTGCTCACTATAATCCCAGCAAAATGGGAGGCAGAGTGGGGAGGATGGAGGTCCAAGACTGGCCCTGGGCAAAAGTGAGACCCTATCTGAAAACAAAAGCAAAATGGAATTGGGGCATGGTTCATGTGGTAGAGAGTGCTTAAGTGCAAAGCCCCGAGTTCAAATTCTAGTACCAAGAAAGAAAAAAAGAATCAAAATGAAAAAGAAGAATGTAAAAGAACTTGGCATATATGGGTATTTATTTCATTCCTCATTTCCTTACATGAACGTCCTACAGAATTATGATAATTAGTCTTTCAGGTAAATCATCTTTTAACTAATGTCCTTGAGAAGTTGTAACTTATCCCAACAGTACTGGTGCTGTTGGGGACATTTTCGTGTCTTCCTCTGTTGTTTTCCTTTGTACTTATGATGCGTTCTACAATTGTCTTTGGTAGTGGCAAATCCTTTTCCTGTGATTGGATACAAAGTTTTTGGAGCATCCAACAGTCATTTGGAGCCAAGTATAATGAATAAAAACCCTCGTGTTCAGTGGAGGTGCCTTAAGAGGTGTGCAGTAGTTCCAAAAGATTTTTAAAAGGGACTTTAAAAGATACCATAATATTTTTTTTTCTTGCAGCAAACAAATACAGCTGATGGCTCACCTGAAAAATTGAAACTGGATGATACACAGCAAGGTCTGACATGCTTTAGAGTTCATAAATAAGACCCTTGTAATGTATTTAAGTGACAACTCAAGATGCTCAACATCTTTCGTTTCTAATCTTTGTTATCAGAGGTCACTTCAAAATATGAGTATTCTTCAAATGCGCAAGAGCCATCATTAGTTCAAATTCAGACTCCTAAGTTAGATGACAAATCTAGGTAAGTGATTTTTTTGTAAAGGTTTATTTTTTCTTTAAGTGACATGACTGTACTTACCCATGGGCTGTAGTGTGGTGTTTCTGTACACATACCCGTTGTGTAATGATCAAATCATGGCATTTAGCATATCCGTTTTAAACATTTATCATTTCTGTGTGGAAGAGCATTCAGAATCCTCTTCTAGTTACTGAAATATGTTAAGGACACCAGAACTTATTCCTCATGTCTAACTGTAATTTTGTACCCACTGGTCAATATCTCTGACATCCCTTCCTCTCCATTCTTAGTTTTCTGGTACCACCTTTCTACTGTCTACTTCTATAAGTTTGACTTTTTTAGGTTACACATATAAGTGAGATCGTGCAGTATTTATCTTCCTGTGCTTGATTTATTTCACTTAATGGAATGTCTTCCAGTTCATCTATATTGTTGAAATGACAGGATTTAATCTTTTTTAAAGGCAAATAGTATACCATTTTGTCTACGTATCCCATTTTCTTTATCTATTCATCTCTTGATGGACATTTAAGTGAATTCCACATCTGACTATTGTGAGGCTTATAAACCATATAGGTCACTGTTAATGTGCTATAGGTGATGGTCCTAGATTCCCCTCTTTCCTGCACCCTCCTACCCAAGGAGAGAACATTGTGTGAAGTTCTCCATGGAATGCTTTGAGTAATGTTGGCAAGTTCTCCTCACCTGCAGCACTTTATCATTTTAACTACAGCAGGCTATTTTTCTACAGCAAAACACTGGTTTTTTGAGATTTAAGGACACAAGATCAATAAACAAAAATTATTTTCTTGTTCTATGTTAAAAATCAGAAATTGAAATTAAAACAAAGATTGAAATAACCATTTATAATAGTATTAAAATACATACTTGGGCATTTATCTGACAAGTGATTGTTAAGCCCTTCCCTCCACCCCCCACTACCCCCCACCAAAAAAAATTTCAGAACATTGCTGAGAGAAATGAAGGAAAACCTAAATATAGATACCATGCTCATGGGACAAAGACTCAATATGAAGATGCCATTTTTTCCCAAATTAATCAAGAGTTTGATATAATCCCCAATGTAAGTCCAGAAGTCTTGGCAAAGAATTTGACAAGCTATTTCTGAATTCCATGTGGAAATTTAGAGGACCTGGGCAAATGAAACAAGTTTCAAAAAGAAACAAGTGAGAGAGCTCAGTCACTGCCTCATCTCAGGATTACTAGAAAGTTACATTAATCAAGAGAGGGTGGGATTGGCATAAAGATAAACAGAACATAATAGGAAATCCAGAAAAGGCCTGCATATATGTGGATAATTGGTCTATGACAAAATGCAAGCATAACCCAGTGGAGAAAGGATAGATTTTCCAAGAAGCTGTGCTAGAACAATTGAATATCTTGATTAAAAAAATGATCTTCCAATGTTACCTTTCACCATATAAAAATTAACTGAAAACAAATTATAGACCTATATATAAAACTTATTTTAAAAGGAAACATAAATCTATGACTTTGTTAGGAAGGATTTCTTATATTTGACTCTGAAAACATGGTATAAAAGAACAAATTGATGAATTAGCAATCATCAAAATAAAAAAAATTATGTTCTTTTGAAAACCACCTTTAGCAAGAGAAAGGACAAGACACAGCCTTGCTGAAAGTATCTGTAAAGAAATATATCAAGAACTCTCAAAACTCAAAACTTATAACCCATAAAAACAGGCAAAAGATTTAAACACTTCACCAGGTAATATACACAGATAGCAGATGAGCCACAGAAACTTCAACACCAATTAATTATGCTGTAATTAAGACTACGATGAGATGTACTGAACATCTATTAGAGTTACTAAAGTTAGAAACACCATGTATATCACATGTTTGCAAGAACAGGGAGCAAACGGAACTCTTATTTTACCCTGCTGATAGTTTCTTAAAATGTAAATATATGCCACTCAGGGCCCAGCTCTTCCAATCCTAGGTATTTCCCCAAGAGATATGTCAGCCTGTATCCACAAGAAAGAATGGACACGGGTATTTATGCCAGCTTTGTTTGTAATAGCGTTCAAGTAGAAACAACTGAAATGTGCATTGATAAATGAATGGATACCTATATTTGGTTGAGTATCCCTTATCACAAATGCCTGGGACCAGAAGGTTTTGGATTTCAGTTGGAAATATTTGCATATATAATGAGATATCTTGAGGATAGGATTCAAATCTCAATACAAAATTCACTCTTTACTCCACATACACTGTATACACATAGGCTGAAGGTAATTTTATACAATATTTTAGTGTGCCTGCATTTTGACCAACCCACCACAGGTATGGATTTCCACTTGTGTTGAAATTCAGAAAGGTTTGTATTTTGGAGCATTACGAGTTTCCAGATTGGAATGATGAACCTGTATATTGACATCCTGACTCTAATTCTATTAGATATTATCCAGAAATGGGATTGCTTAATCATATAATAGCTCTATTGTTAACTTCTTGAGCTATTTCCCATGCTATTTTCCAGAGAACCTGTCCTCTTTATTCCCACCATAATATTCAAGGGTTCCAGTTGCCCCACATCTCTCTAGAACTTATCTTTTTTTAAAAAATGATAGCAGACCATATATCTGATAAGAGGTTAATATTAAACATACACAGGGAACTCACACAATTGAATAGCAAAAGCCAAATAATTCAATTAAAAAACAGGCAAAGAATTTGAATAAACATCTCTCCAAACAAGACATAAAAATGGCCAACAGGCATACAGAAAGATGTTCGATGTCACTAATGGCCCCAAGTGGTTTGAAGGCAAGGCCAGGTTTGAGAAACACCACTCTTCAGCACTGTCCCTGTTGGCGGCTTACTTGCTGATCCCACCCTACCTTTTACTCTTTGTGTGTCTGACAGACAAGATTTAACAAAATATTTTCTTTTTAATAAGCATTCCTCCCCTGCCAGAGAATCTATGGAAATAGATTGGAAGATAAGGAGTGTGTCTACAGAATGGGCTACTTCCATGCACTGAGGTTCTGAGCAGGAAAAGGGCACATGAAGGAGGAAGGTGATGGTTGAACCACTTTCCATTAATTTGGTCTAATTTATTTTAGGGAAGATTCTGCTTTTCAAGGATGGCAGAAAGCAACAAAGAAGGATGTCGGTAATGTAATAACTTTTATTATTTTAAGACAGTCCTTCCCAAGCTTCAATTATTTGCATACATGTTCTATGTTTGCCATTATTCTACTCTTACTATCTGTATTTTTCTTTTTTCTTAATTGCATTTCTCTTCAACTTACTTTTATAAGGAATTATTTCAAGCGCAAATGAAAAACTGGCATTTTCTAACAAGTATTAGGTGAATCCCCAAGTAAATAACATTTGAAAATAAACAATGTTAATCTATTGATCTACACATTTGTATTCACGGTGGTATAACAGGC